AGCTCTGTAACTGCATTTCTGCGAAAGTTATGAGTGTTTGAAGGTTACGACTTTAAAAAATGGCAACGCTGTTTCCCTGGGGTTCCTGCAAAAACGGAGCTAGGGATAAGCCTCTCTCTACTAGTACTATCAGCTCACAAAGTTTCGTACATTCCGGGCTGGGTACATTTTTCGCCTATATGAATAACCCTCTTTGCGAAAATGTTGCTGATTTTTAACTTTGACCCCACGCTGCGTNCCCCCGCTGCGTCTCCCCAAAATTTTTGGGGGGCTTAAAACTTTGGGAAAAGATGGGGCATTGTTCGGTGAATGAATAGGTAGGGTAAGTCTCAAAGGTATGCGCCCCAAGCCCCAAATGGCCCGTTTTGCACGTACCCTTTTCCTGTTAAATTTCTAAATTACACGTTTAAATTGTGAAAGAATCTGAAATTGTGTGTATTAATTTAGGTCTAATATTAATTTGAAAGTTAATTATAAAGTTTGGTAAAAATTAAAAGGCTGGGATTTCAAGTATTTTCAAATATGTTTCCAGTTTGCCAAAGAATTATATAGCCTAACATCAAGCAAAGAAGCTACAATTGTGTTTCTGACGGACCGTGACTTGCTTCCAGCAGTCCAAGGACTGGAAGTTTGCCACAGGTGCAGGGGACCTATGAAGCTTTACATTAAGAAGAATCGCGACCAGGAACGGGCGACCCTGCGCTGCTGCAAGAAGGGTTGCCAAACTCGAGAGAGAGCTTCCAAAGGGGAATATGTCTCACTGTCAGACCAAACTACTCAATTGCTGATGCCACGGCATGAAAGTGTCAAATGACATTTTTAAGATTTCGAAAAAAGGAGTTTCAAGTTTAAAATTTATATTGGACCTACGGGCTAACTGAGAATATACTGTTGTCATGACCCGAAAAATTGGGCCAGGTGTTTGTTTCTTATCACCATGACTGTCCACAGCGATTTTCATTGTCAGTCTGGGCACGGATTACTTTGGTACTGGCTTTGTTTAAGGTCGCTGGTAGCGGTATAACTACTTCCAATGTTTTTCAAAAATTTCGTATGCCTCAATGCCGCCGTACTTATCGCCTTTAAACTCTAAAAATCTGCTTCAAAATAACCTCGATCCGAAAAAGGAAATAGAGTTTTTAATTTCTCCATCTGAAAGACCGACAGTTACCTATCGCGATCTTAAAAAAATTAATTTAATGGACATTTCCTCTTTGGAATGTAACAGCTACCATTTTGCATCAGCCTAGACTCTGCTTCTGTAGTAATTAGTATTCGTGATTCAAAATCTTTTACCAACAATACGAAAATTTTGGGGCCAATTATAAAGGAATATTTGTGCCTGGATGAAAGAAAGAGAGATGACTTCATTGGCCGCGGAAATAAAAAGCTACCACAGAAAGAAGGAACAAGTCCTCCAACGCATTTTAATTGTGTGTTGTATGCGGTCTACCGTAAACCCGTATGTGGTCTACCTGAGGCGGTATACATTTGGCGCAAAGTGACATCTATTCAATTGACGAAGTTGCGGTCGTCATAGAGATACTCGTTCTGTACATCTTAAAATCGGACATTAAATATTCTGTACATCCAGTGCATCTTAAAATCGGACTTTCCCGATCCATATTTTTTTGATTTATTGCCGCTTGAATCCGGCTGTAAGACCATTGTGCGCCGTGGCTGACAATAGCCTCCCGGCGAGGACTTCAGATTTTACGATCGCGTTTTTCCGTCATTTTGCGAGTTTTTTCCCCCTTCAAAATGTTGCTATGGCTTTGAAATTCCCTGAAATTACACACTTTTTAGGGTACCTTACCAGAAAAAATAACAGGATTTACCTCACAACTTTTAAAATACCCCCTTCCCCTTCAAAGTGGCCACATTGTGCAATTTCGCCGATTTGTCGTGAGTAACATTCTCCTGGCACAATTTGCCTGAATGAGTTAAATTTTTGGATGAGTCAAAAGCAAAATCTGATGGTTCTTGAGGTAGAGTGTCCTGTCCATCGAGTTATTTAAGTTTAAAAAAAAAAAAAAAAAAAAAAAAAAAAAAAAAAAAATTCTGTTCAGCTCCGGGAAAATAAAGTCAATTTAAAGGTATATTGGAGCTAAAATTAGCAAATTACCGGTACATAGTTCCGTCTTGCCATTGAAAAAAATTTCGTCGATAGTTATAACGTCTACGTTACGTAAATGTTATTATTTTAAGCACTCGAATACCGATACCACAGATTTTAGCCGTAAGGTGAATTTTGGAGGCCTAAAACTGAGGCATACATTGGACTAACCACCTATACGCCTATAGGTGGTTTTTCTAGAGATCAGTCCGTTCGAACTGATGTATCCTTGGGTATCGCTAATAGTGATAGCAAGTCGATCCCTTGATTACTCAGTTCAAGAATCCAATTTAGATGAAGTGAAGTCAGACCGGTTGGCGGTCTATGGAATAATCACCTATACGAGTATCGGTGGGTCTTCCATTTCTTAACGCGAGAACGCGCTGCATCAGTGTTTCAGGACTGTGACTGCACTGGTGCACTTGGTGATACATGTAGTTTTCCAAATTGATAATTTCAAGTTTTTGGAAGACTGATTTTAAAGTTCCTATTTTTTTTAATTTTGTATTTCATTATAAGTTGTTTCAGTTATTATAGTTGTTCACGGCCAAAATTGAAAGTTGTTCTTCTTTTTTATTTCCATTACATCATATAATGAGTTACAAAGCATTAATCAGGTTTTTGGATAAATTATTCAGCCATTTTACCTTGGGATAAGGTGTTCTATGGAATAACCACCTAAAACAACTTTTTTTAAACTGTTAATGTTATAGCGAAAACTAAAATATTTCCAAAAACTACATGGTGAGACTTTAAGGGATGCTATCAAATACAAAAAAATGCGTATGCAGTTTTCCTACCGCAAAAACCCAGCGACGCATCTCAGAATCAAACCTTTATGTGCAATTGTCTCGAAACTCTGTTTTCAGCAATAGGTGGTTATTCCAGCTAACGCCTTCATTACCCTTCGCAGCCGAAAAACTTTCTGCACAACTTTTTCATGGATCTCTCCAAAAAATGGCCTGCTACTTGGGTGGTCGATTCGGTTATCAAACCAAGTTTGAAATGGAATTTTATAATAATCTGCGGCTTAAAAAAATTATAAGATAAACTTGGGGACAGTTTCCTTGTTACATAGAGGAAGGCGGAATACCCGAGTAGCATTTTTCAACGGAAAAATCGCGATATTTTGAAATTAGGTTGCGGATTTTGACGATTTTTATGATGATGAAATCCCTGGGATCATAAATATCTGAGTGATTATTCTTGATTTTGTCACAACTTTATCTCTATAAAATCAAGTTCAATAAAATCGAAATTTCATCTCAATTTATCACAATTCTTTGTTCGATAACGTTGCAATAAATCGCCGTCGATAAAATCGCGATTTTATTGCAAATTTATGCGATGAAATCGCAATTCATCGCAATTTTTTATCCAATGTATTGCAATACATCGACGTTCATACAATCTTGATACATGCTTCGATCAAATCACATCTCATAAAGATCACTGCTCTTTGGGTATGGGCCAAAATACCACCTAGCAGTTGCCGTCTTGTCGGATTGATGTGACCTTGGGCTTCTAATCGTTGTTCACTCATGATCAGCATATCGATACTTCATTATCTTTATACTTGAAATTAAACTTTCACATCAAGGAGTCAATGTATCACTTCGTTGTATCGTTTCTTTTCGATTTTACACGGAACATGATGAAAGAATTAATGTTCCGTGGATTGATAATAACGAATTTCAATTCCGAGAAACCGCCAATTTTCCATATAAATCGAGGAGAATCGGTAAATCGACTTCCAATATTCCATATGCAAGAAACCTATCGACTTTTTAACTTATCGTAACTATCGAGGGAATTTCTTTCAAATGATATGACTGAACTTAGTAACGATAATTTGCCTATTTCAGTCCCAATATACCTTTAAATCGACTTTACTTTTTAGAATCTCAACAGAATTTTTTTCTTTTTGACTTTAAAGATTCGGTGGATACCTACTCTATTCTAAGAATCTGAAGAGTTTTAGCTTTTGACTTGTCAAAAAATTTAAACTCGTTCAGGCAAACCATGCCGGGAGAATGTTACAAAAAATCGGCAAAATCGTACGATGTGGCCTCTTTGAAAAGAGGCAGGGGGTATTTTAAGAGTTATGAGATAAATTAAGTTAAATTTCTCGTACAGTACCCTAAAAGTTACCCTAATGAAAAGAAAACCGAATTCTTTTTCCAGTAAAGTTACAATGATATCAAGGCTTTGGCAAGCACAACTAAAAAAATTGCAATGATATAGCAACGGGCCTGTTGCAAACTTTTTCTGAAGCAAAAATAAGAGTTTTCATCGAAAATCACGATGAGCGAAGTCTGAAATGCACTCCTAACTTCACAATCTGCATAAGAAATTTGCGAGTTTAAAAGCTTGCCGTTTTAAAAATGATACGACGGCACATGCAAGGTACGCTCTACTACAGGTATGGACAAATGGAATTTTAGAAAGTCGTCAAAACGCGTAGATTTGACAGCATCGAGAGTACGACTGCGAAGACCTGCGCGGCAAATGGACGGTACGACTTCATACGTCACTCGATCGCCGATTTTCTCAGCGCTGCCACTTCGGCACCCCGTTTGTCCATACCTGTAGTAGAGTGTACCTTGGGCACATGTGAACATTTTGTTGTAGGAGTCGATCCATCTAACTCCAGCTCAATAGGATGCAACTCAATATTCTTTATTTATTCAATTAAGTACATACAAAGCTGTTGAGACTGCTTATGGTACATGTCAGGTGTTGTCCTCAAAACACTTAATTTAAACACATGTACAATAAAATTTACAACAATAATAGGTTAGTTTCCAATTGTTGAGTATTTAACAGTTATATACAGAAATTCCTTAGAGACAATCTTCACTCGGACATCTCTGTATTTAGCTATCACCTAGAAACTCATTTATGTGGTAGAACACTTTTTCTAGGCAGAATTTTTTAAGAAGTTTAAGGAATACATTTGGATAGTCATTTTTAAATGATAGTTTTAGTGAAAGCGGTAGGGCATTAAGGAGCTGTATAGCAGAGAAATTTACATTGCTTTCTGATTTGGTAAGTCTTATTCTAAGATTAGTTATATTATAGTGCCTGCTATTATATGAATGCTTAGGTGTTAAATCCTCCTGATTTATAAAGTTGTAGGAGATAGCCAATTTGATGGTTTCATAGATGTATAGCGAGGGGACTGTCATTAGATTGTTTGTGCAGAAGAGATCTTTACAATTATAATCATATGGCTTTCTAAATAGTATTCTAATCATTTTTTTTTGCTTCACAAATACATCCTGTGAATCAGGGCTTCTACCCCATAGAATTATTCCATATCTTAGCAATGATTCCAAGCTAGCATGATAGAAGGCCAAAACACTATCAATACTTAATATCTTAACTAAGTTTCTGAGCATCCAGGTCTTCTTCTGATTATATATTCAACTGGCCAACGCCAATCCGCCAAAACACGAGTGATGGAGCGAGATTCTAACCACCTGATAACAATTGGCGAACTTACATTCACATTTTCCTCGCATTGAGACTGTTGAGAGATACTCGCCTTGATTGACCTTGTGCTCCCCTCGACTTACGCGCAGAAGCATCGGCCATGATGAGTATTACAAACCATCATATTGAACAGGGGTTGAATGGAACAAAATGTTGACCTGTGCCGTGGAATCGTCCCACTTCCCGCTTCAAAAACGACACCACCGCACAGGTCAACATTTTGTTAGAGGAGTAGTTCCATTCAACCCCTGTTCAATATGATGTGCGTTTCAGAATTTGCTGATGCGCTCATCATGATTTTTGAGACATTTTCTATAGGAAACATCTCATATTTTTGCTCTCATGCTCAGCCAAAAGTTTGCAACAGGCCCACTGTACGACAAATTTCTTACAGCAGCTAAACTACCTTTTTGAGCATGAGAATGTTATGTATAGCTATCAATAATTCTTGGGTTGCAAACTTCTCGTCCCATTTTACTTCAATACTGGACAATCAACTGCTCTTGTTTCTGGAAGTTTTACATAAGCTTACTTCATTGACCTTTTAATGTTTACAAGATTGATATACAAAATAAAACAAACATTGTTCATTTCCTTCAGAAAATAGAAAGAGAGAACAAATTTTGAGACATCGCAAACTAAGAATTTTCTTGTCTCATTACCTCTATTTTCAACAATGATCTTCATGTAACACGTAGTGAATGCACCAAGGTATGGTATACGTATTTTTACTTATGTTTCTTGGCTTGAGCTATCATTAGAGCAAAATTTTCACACATACACAAAGTAACATCAAGATTACTTGATGCCGTCAATATTGAATACATGAATATAAAACATTACAAGGTACAGAAACACGTTATTATCACTCTTATGTAAATCAGCTGATCGTGGTCTAGTGTGCGGGTCAATTCACTTGCACGTCCACATTGGACTCATTGAAGCATAGACAGCAGCATTTCCTTATGAGTAGGTTGATGCAATATCTATTTCTGTTTGAACAGTGAGCAAGTTCTCACTCTTCCTGGTCGCTTTCGCAATTTCAAATTATTCCCTAACCCAGGGTGATGTGAATTTGATGTGAAAATCAAGTTGTATGGGTAAAAAAAGGTGTGCTCCTTCTTCGGCTGAAAGCTGATTTTCGAAAATTTAATGTAGGAACCCTGCCGTAACCCACAGATGTCTAATTGAGCTAAAAAAGGAGAGAGAAAAAAGGAGGAGTTACAAAGTGTTGGAAGTAAGAGCTCTGCCCGAATGTTATAAATCCCAACTGAAAAGGTGATGTTTTACAAGCATATCGCGGACACCATCTTTTAAAGGCTGGGATTGCTCTTTTTTCGCTGGAATCTCGAAGTTAGGGTTCAGACTAAATGGAAACTGTGACAGTATTCTCAACTCACACTTAATTTGAACCCAACCTGGACTGCTAACAAAACTCCACGGGTAGTACCTAAAACATAACAACGAGAGTTAAAAAGCATACTCAACATTAGAGCTTTGTTGTGGTGTCGTCATCAAACTGGTTTATGGTAGCTTTCGGTTATCAAATTGAAATACTTGGCGAATTAATGTGCAACTTAAATGAGAGTAGTACATTTTTTAGATATCACACTTAGGTTTTGACAAAGTTCTGACATTGTTTTCAGTAAGCCCTTCGATGAGTTGCATAACTACAGCTGACTCGTGATATTACGTTTTTGACTCCTTACTAGCCCAAACCATATTCGGTTACTACATGGTGTTTTCCCTGCCAAAAAACTTGACAGGAAACAAAAGAGCTTGATGCAAAAACGGCTTTTTTCGCCCCCCCACTGGAAGTTCTTCAGACTTTGTCTATTGATTACTCATACTTGAGCGCTTCTTTTCCCAAATTTTCAGACCCCCAAAAAATTTTGGGGGGGAGCTAGGGGGGGTGGAAGTTAAAACCTGTGAACCTCGATATCTCTTGAACAAAGAAAGATATCGAGGTCCGGTTTGGACGAAAAATCGTCTAAAATTGCATACTTTAAGATTCCAAATGTCGAAATCCCGATATCACATTTATAAGTCAACATATGTGCTTTTTTCCAGTTTTTAGGTCTAGAATATTTCTTTTAAACGAAAAATTTACAAAGATCTCAATTTTTTATTTGAACCAAAACCAGTTTTTTAAATTGTTCGTCTTTTTCCGCATCCAACGAGTGGTCCATTAAGCTGGGGAACCAAACGGTTCCGGAGTTATGATCGATTGAAGGTTCCGCTCAACGCGCGCCGACCCATTTTCGCGCGCAAAAAAGTCGGATTTGACTGTTATTAGATCAGATTGAATGTTCAAACTGAGCAAAATGCTTTATTAGGGACTCTTGAGGGTCGCTGAGTTTAGAAATTACAGATACTTCCAAATAGTTTGCGTTTTTAAAATTACAGCACCGCAGCGCTATTTTAGAGGCCCACTGAGCGCCGACCGGCCGCTCAGTGGTCCTGTCCGAAGCTGCAATTTTAAAATCGTGAATTTTTTGGAAGTATCGGTAATTTCTGAACTCAGCGACCCTCAAGAGTCCCTAATAATGCATTTTGCTCAGTTTGAACATTCAATCTGATCTAATAACAGTCAAATCCGACTTTTTTGCGCGCAAAAATCGGTCGGCGCGCGTTGAGCGGAAACTTCAATCGATCATAACTCCGGAACCGTTTGGTTCCCCAGCTTAATGGACCACTCGTTGGATGAGGAAAAAGACGAACAATTTAAAAAACTGGTTTTGGTTCAAATAAAAAATTGAGATCTTTGTAAATTTTTCGTTTAAAAGAAATATTCTAGACCTAAAAACTGGAAAAAAGCACATATGTTGACTTATAAATGTGATATCGGGATTTCGACATTTGGAATCTTAAAGTATGCAATTTTAGACGATTTTTCGTCCAAACCGGACCTCGATATCTTTCTTTGTTCGAGAGATATCGGGGTTCACAGGTTTTGACTTCCACCCCCCTAGCTCCCCCCAAAATTCTTCGGGGGTCTGAAAATTTGGGAAAAGAAGCGCTCAAGTATGAGTAATCAATAGACAAAGTCTGAAGAACTTCCAGAGAGGGGGCGAAAAAAGCCATTTTTGCATCAAGCTCTTCAAAATAAGGTTAGATCTCAAAATGTCTAAATTACATACAGGATGGTGCGGGATACGAAAAGTTCGAAAGTCGATGAAAAACAAAGAGGCAAATCCCATGCTCAATATCTTAACAATCTAAACATATGTGACAATATGTAAAGATTCCGAAGTGAATAAACCACAGGCTGAGTCTAATTCTTATGATTTCTTTATTTACTTGGTGTGTAAGAGAATTAATCTGCTTCCCTTGACTAGGGATTGCAGGTAAAAAATTATTACCATTTTTCAACCATGTCCATTGATGAGCATAGTATCTCAAACCACAGATGTAGCACTTGTTCATTCAGACCAATGCAAATTAAACTCCTTAGTTTGACATCCATCTGAGCATGGCATGCATCATGCGACAAGTTGACACACTGAACAGAGCGGTACAACAGCTGCGAACATGAATATGATTGATGAGCAGCTTTAAACTTACTGAGAATCAAAATCCTTTCACAGCATAATAAGAGGAAGAAAAAAATGGTCTGGGCACCATACCTTGGAATAGGGCCTGGCAAAGAAAAAATTGTGAGCTAGCCAAATTTTGCTTCTTTGGGTTCAGTTAAACTCTCTGATGTCCCACAAAAAAGTCCCCAAGATCTGGAGATAAGCTTCCCGATTTGGGGAGGGGGGGGGAGGGCCCAAAATGGCCCCAAAAATCGGTTTTTGCATAATATTTCGAAAAGAACTTAGATTACGGAAAAATTTCAAGACATCGATTTTGTTCCTGACAAAATTCCCTACAAGAATCATGGTTAATTTTTTTTAAATAAACTAGAAGGCTACACCCCCTGGCCGCTCCACAGCCCAACCCCCTGGTTTTTTCTGTCATTTTATGACGAGAGCATCACTAGATTTGTTTTTAAATACATTATTGTTGTTATTTTCATTAATACTCATGAAGTTCTTTCGGTTTCACTGATGAATTCTTATTTTTTTCTTCTTTTTTTCATAGTAGCTCACAGTATTAGTTTCTTCAGACGTGTCAACTGATACATTACCTACAATACATTTTTTACTTTCTTAATTGTTCGATTTTTAACACAATCATTTTCAGAGTGGGAATTATACATATTAGTCAAGTTAAGTTTGGTTAAGTTTTTTACAAATTAGTTGAGGTAGAAAAGTTTCGAATGTTTTTGATTTCAGGACCCAGCCTTACTTGAGGATGGTGTTTTGGAACAAGCAATTAATAGTCCGTTGACTACGACCCCAAAATGGCATAAACCCTGCACTTTTTGATTGGAATATGCCGCTTTCAGGGCTCATGGGTGGTACCCTCAAGAGTAATTCTGGAAGGGGCAACACTCTGAGACCCGCGACTGGAGCAAGATGGCGGCCGTTAAAGTCCGCCATTTTGGTTTTTTTCAAAGCGCTGTCTTTCGGTTGCTATTGATCCGATTTTGATCAACTTTTTTTTAAATGAAAGGTAATTTCCAGGAGAACAATTTTATTTCTAATCAATTTTGCTGTTAGTCTTACATTTTTTTTCTAACGTGGGAAAAACTAAAATGTTTCAATTTTTTGGAAATTTTAAGGTCAAATAACTTTTTAATAGGCTAGAAAATTGATATTTTGCCTTGTTTGACAGAGCCGTAGAATTTCCTGACCTTTAATTTGATACCAAAACGATTTTTGTGCGATAATAAATTAGCGCGTGAGAGCAATTTAAGTGTTTCGCGCTTCGCGCCGTAGGACCCGTTTCGGAGCTCTAGACGGCCGACGCGACCCTTCCATGCGCTGTATCTCGGTTGCTGTGCGATGAATTTTAATCAATTTTCTTTTATAAGCAGTTATACTCATGGAAAACCAGCTCCTTAGACAATTTTGGCACTAACATGATAATTTTCCAAAATTTTCCAAAAAAAAAAAAAAATTTCCGGAAGAACAAAAATTTTGTAGTTAGATAATGCCTAATGGGCGAATAAATATGAGTGTTTCGGTGTTGAAAGTAGACGTAGGCTTGATTTAGGTTTAATGTGATACCAAAACCAAATTTGTGCGATGAAAAAAAAACCCACGAGAGCAATTTAAGTGGAACGCGACGGTGCGCGTCACACGGCGCGTGATCCGTATGGGGTCGTTGGCGCCCTTCACTGCCGTGTAATTCGGTTGCTACCAGATCCGTTAAGATCATTTTGTTCTAAGAAGCTTGAAGAAGCTGAAATTACAGCTTTGCCTCATTGGACGGATCCGGAAAAGTACCCTTAAGTAGATTGATTTGATACCATCATCATCCCTGCGTGACCAAAATTAGACCCGTGACAGCAATTTGATTTCATTCATAAAGTTCATCGCATTACTGTAGGATATCATAGTGGAACAAACAAAATGATGCAAGTATCCTCGATACGAGCTAAGGTGATCCTTACTTATTTTGAGGCGCTGAATTCAGAAATGACCTCTATTTTTTCCTATCACTCTCCAGTTGTCCGGAAATGCCGATTTTCTCGGAAAATGAGCACTTTTTGCCATTTTTGGGACTACAACCCCCCCGCATAATGTAACCATAAAATTTTTCTAGAGTACAAGATACGTCCCTTCTGATGTACTTCAAGCCGCTGAGTTCAAAAGTGGCCTCTACATTTTTGCCCATCACCTCTCAGTTTTCAAGAAAAGGTACTTTTCCCCGGAAAAACGAGTAAATTTGACGTATTTTTGTCATTAATGCTATTTTTTTTACATTTCTCTGGACCCGTGAAAGCGTTATTCCTCTATAGGTATTGTTCGGTATGTAGTAATATAGTTTCGAGGAAAAGGTAATGAAGATGATCCTGCAAAGGCATTGAGGGTAAGCGTTAGTCTTAACCCTCTCACATTTCTATATTTTGAACTGTTCAAGCCAGCTATGATGGTGTATTGAGACACAAATCGACTTTTCCTGAAAAATGGAGGGCATAGGGAAAAAAAGAAGGTCATATTTAGATTTTGCACCCATAAATTTAAAGCAATACTTTTCACCGGTCCATGAAAATTTATATAATGAAAATTGCATTCATGAAAAATAAGTTAAATTAGCTTATTTTCCTGGGAATAGGAGTATTTCTAGGTAGCTGGAGGGTGATAGAATAGAGTCGAGGCCATTTTCGGACTCAGCAACTCAAAATACACGCAGAAGATATATCTTATAATTTATCGTATGAGTTACAGTTTACGTATGTTAGACAGGGTGTAACAGTCGCGAAAACATTGAAAATTCCAAAAATACTATTTTTCTCGATTATACTCAACATTTTCAGAACAATGGTGAGTGATATAACAAAGTCCTGATCCCATATTTGAGTTTTTTAGCTTTTTTTACTCAAGAATCAATTTATAACGCATGAGAAAAATTATTTAAATTTCCCTAGTAGTGGGTACAGTCCAGGAAAGCATGTTTACACCCCTGTCGGCCCGGAATGATCAAATCTAAGGGGGTATCAGAAACTAGTGGACGTCCAATTCGGGTTCAATGAATCTGAACTCATCAAGCCAGACCCAACGTACCCCTTGTCCCCCACGTAGTCAACGGACTATAATCGAGAGACCTTGATTAGAAACTTTTGTGCAGGCGTTTGAGGGGCACTGGGGATTCCTATGGATGAAAGTTCTCGATCTTTCTGATTTTTTCTACCATAGATATTGTTGAAACTTTGGAGGGTTTTAGAATCCCACCAAAAACATTTCAATGTAAAGATGAACCTTCAAGCTAAAAATATGAGCATTTGTCGCCCCAAATGCAGTGATATCCCACAAGATAGACGCTGAGTAATTGTCATTAATATTAATTTAAAGCTCCTCCACTCTTCAATATTAATATCAGGAAAACGCAAAATGTAAACAAAAACAAAAAAAATTTAAAAAATTAATACAAATTTGTCAGTTTTTTTGTAGGGCAATGCCAATAGTACAAGAAAAATTGATTAACTTGAATAGTTTTTTAAATTTTTTATTTTGTCTATATTTTGCGTTTTCTAGATAATAAAGTTGAAGGGACAAGAAAATTTAAATTAATATTAATGAAATTCACTTGGCTTCTACTTTGTGGGATATCACTGCAAATTGGGCAACAAATGTTTATATTTTTAGCTTAGCGGATAGTCTTCATACGGAAATGTTTTTGGTGGCAAATCATGGAGTTTTTTGCTGAATTTCACAGATGAATAAAAAGAAAATAACGTCCAGATTTTTTAAGATAGATTTTGTTTTCAATTGAGGAGATGTTTGGAAACTTTACGAATGGTTGATAGTTTTTTGATTAGCACTAAAAGTTTTGTAAAAAATGCAACATAGCTATTTAACACTTTCAAAGCAAAGCTTTAAATCTACAGACGTTCAACATTATTGTTTTTATTCAAGAATAATGTCAGGCAGGACATGTCTCAGAGTCAATTTGACCAGTTCGTTTTCAGTATCCTGATAGACAAGGTGAGCAGCTTTGATACAGTAATAATTACTAGCAGGCTGTCGAGTCATGTTCATGTGGTTTGATTCTTGATTTAGCAAAATGATAGTATTCACACATTTTTCAAAGCAATTTCTGTCATCAGAGCTTGCATTTGGTTGGTTTACAATCAGCCACAAATCAAGTAAACATTAATCTCACTCAATGAGGGAAATAAAGCACAACTCATGGGCTACTAAGCCAGCCGGACCAAAAATACCCCCTGGTACCAAGTTACACAAAATCGATTTAATAGGAGCTGAGATAGCATTTTAGGACCTGTTCACCATCTTCAGTAGAGAATGAGAAATAGATAGTATTTATGTAATATTATTGAAGCACTGATTCAAAAGTACAGCACTTACTGCAGGTAAATGTAGGAATAAGAAGAATCTATTTTAAGATCTATAATCTTTAATCTATAAGAAGAATCTATTTTAAGAAGATTTCGAAATTCCAAGTTTCACAAAAATTGATGGAACATGAGCTAAGATAACATTTCCGGCGACATCAGCCATCTTAGATTTGCAAATATTGAAAATATGAAATAAATTCGAGTTGCCCGTCAAGAAATAACCCCCACCCCCGATACCATGTTTCACAGAAATTGATAGAACATGAGCTTAGAAAGCATTTCAGGCCACGTCCGCCATCTTGGATTTGGGACCACCAAATTTTCCTTTTTTTCGTTTTTCTTATTCACTATCCGCGCCCACTCAAGAGGGTTGTTATTGGTTTTCTCGGCCGAAGGCCGCTACCCGCTACCACTTTTCGGGCATAACGCCCTGTAGGAATATCCCTTTTTCATGACGCCATCAAATTTTCCGTCTTTTAGATTTTTTTTATTCACTATCTACGTCCACTCGAGAGGGTTGTTATCCTTTTTCGTGGCCGAAGGCCGCCACCTCTTTTCCGGTAAACAGTATCATAAAGTGAACGCTGCACCAATTATGTTCTCTCTTTCATGGCGCGGCTCCAATACAAAACTCCTTTAGTAGTTTGGAATATGAGTCGCAGTCGAAACTCGCAACGCGCCCGCTGCAGTGCCCGTATCGCAGCTTGGTTTCAAGGTTTTGTCACGGTTCCTTTGCGTCCTTTATTTGAACAGCCCATCATCAAAACTCCTGAGGTCGTTTAGTAAGTGGACCCCTCATTGCTACTTTCCGTCTTTCTGCTGCATTTCATTAATGGTCCATTTCTAAACTGCCAAAGAAGTTTACTAAGTGGACCGTCACTTTATTGGATTATTTCATTGTTAAATTAGTGAGTACCCACCATGGACCAAGAGAATAAATAAGGACCCCCGACTCCAGTTAGCGGCAACACTAGCGGTGCCTGGCAGAGGGTCTAATGAACTGAACCGACGATTAAGTTCTCCAGTTCCATGTTTCCATGCACCACCTATTTAGACTTGTCACTCAGGGATCAAGGAAATTTCTAGATCTTCAAGGTCCTTCTGAGGTTCTAAAGAGTTTAATGTGAGAAGTTTCTCATTTTTATTTCCATCTTTATAAGTCTTCGGGTACATAAACTGGTAATAATGGGATGTGTCTTTTCTAACCTTTTTACTCAGTAGCAACTGCTGTTGAGAGAGCAAAAGGAAGTGTGTATGTAGTGTGCAGCAGTATTGTACTTTTAGCTGAAGGCGAATCTTTGTGAAAATGAAATCTTTTTAGAGAGAAATAGTGCCGTACTGATAAAGATCAGCTGAGTGTCACAAAATCAGAGATACTTGACTTTAAGCCCTTAATTTGATTATTGGCAAGTCTCTTTGATTCTGCCTCAGAAGTTGACTGAATCATCAAATTTGCTTGTGTTTTGAAAAGATACTTCAAATCAAAGTCTTTCACATTGACCTCTGCAGAAGGTATGTATCTATACTATTTCATTAGTTTGCTAAAATAAAATACATTAAATTATCTGAGTAAAAGAATCATAAAATTTACAACGAACATTGCATGGAATACTACCTACTGTAGAGGTACGATCATGGACCACTGTGACGTTAGTTTACTGCACCCTCTGCCAGGTTCGCTGCAGACACGCGGTAACGGGTTTAAATTGGAAGTTGTCCTTATTTATTCTTTTGGCCCATGTCCCCATCCGGAACCTCATCTCCTCTCACTTCTCCTGAATGTGCGTAAAGGGGGGGAGGGGTTGAAGATACAGGTTATGTTCAGGAACAGTTCCATATACTAAACTATTTCCCAAAAAAGCCTTGGTTTTTTCTATTGCCCATCAATGTTCCAAAAACACCAGTGTTTTCGGTGCCAAAAATTGCATTATCAGGAACAGTGAAAAGAATTACTTTGACATGGGACACACACTTTCCTGTTTATATTGAAATACTAAGTCTGAAAATGACCCTGATTTATTTGTGTTATGCAACAACCTACCAGAAAAAGGAATTTTTCATGGAAAAGTTCCTTTTTTCTAGAGGAATCTGGATTCTTAGAAAAATTGGCTATTTTTGAGAAATGACTTGCATCTATTTTTGACTCAGCACATAGTAAAACACTTATCACTTGTCTCCATAATTTTTTAAATGGGGATAAATGGGCTAATCATGCCATTCAACAGAGAAAACCACCTCTTCAGGCAAAATGAAGAAAATTTTGTTTACATGTGATACATGCTTTCCAATGTATCTTGAAATGCTGAGTCTACAAATGACCATGGTTTCTCTATAGCATGCACCAATTTTTCAAAAAATTGAATTTTCCTCGAAAAACCCCGCATTGAAGAAAATCTCAATTGTTTTTAGAAAGAGGTGGGTAAAGAGAAAAAATTGAGGTCATTTTCGGACTCCCAATTTTTTTTTTTTTTTTTTGCAGAAATGAGTGATTTTTTTCAGCAAAATAAGTGCGGAGCTGACACATATTTTTCACTAAAAAAATTGGCCGTTTTTTGTTTAAACGGGTATATTTTTTCTACGTTTTGCACTGCAGTTTCCCACTTTCAAAGGGAGTTGCAAATTTTTCATTAAGAGATTTTAAAATCATCCCGGCAGGTAGCGGTTTGGGCAATAAGGTAGTGCACAGCGCCAGAAAGCGCCGTAAAAGCAGCTCTTGTGTATGCACAATGTCAAATTTTTCCTTCATTGCAGAGAAAATTGAAAGGTCAAATGTTTTTTAGTATACATATAACCCTCATCATTGGGAAGGTCCAAAATCAGGTTTCTCATGACTTGCTTCAGGTGCAGAAATATTTTTGAAAAAGTTTTTGAATTTGGGTCTTGGTGTTACAAGAAAGTTAATTATTTGCTGGACTGATCAAATGAAAATATTTAGAGAAAATATAAAAATCCATACCTCCTCAGGTGTCAAAACTTTACCGTCTTCATCTAATCTGAAAGTTTTACAGAGCACTAATCTACTATACACAGAGGTAAAGTCTCTCTCTACTTCCCTATTTGCAGCTTCCTCGATGAAAAGCCAAGGATGGCAAGGACCACCTGAAATACAAAGAGAAATTTACACCTTTATTTCAAACTGTTCATAAAAATGTAAGAATTGGCTCACTAGAGGCGTTGTAAGATCAATTTTTAACTTTCGCCGCCCAATTTCTCCACACAGGTATTCAAGTAAGTATCTTCTGGAATCGACAACTTGTAAACTGGCATACCATTGAATTTCCTACTTTTTTACAAATATGAATTGAGGATTATTATTAAATTATCAATTCCCATTGAACTTCACATGAGTTCCTAGGACCTCTTGCCGAAATCATACGCTGAATTTGGCAGCTGAATGTGGAAATCAACAGCCATCGCTCAACGGCTGAAATTTCGCAAATTCGAGTTATTTTCATTCAGATTTGTAACAAATCTATTCCAATAATTCAGAAAAATCCGACATTATCCGATGGTCGCTGAGCCTCGCTGCTGAATTTTCAGGAAAAATTCAGGTATCGGACCGATGACTTCCACGTTCAAGCCACACTCAACACCCACATTCAGTGAGTGATTCCGGTGTTTCACTGACCTAAATTTAAGAACTTTTTTCTGCATTGAGTAAAAAAGCCTTCTTTATACACAGATGCAAGGATGAACCTTTGAACTGTGAAAAAATCATGGCATTTGACTACAACTGCACTTTAATACATTTGCCAGCTCTAAAGATCATACCATTATTGCTGTAGGAAAGCAAAAAGCTAATAGTGGGGCCAATAGCTGGAAAATGTCATAAGAATCGTGCACTTCTGAAGAATGCATGAAATTATTAGGGATTTGTCTCGACCTTATGGACATTCGATTTAGACGTAGACCCCAAAAATCTGAGTCCCCTAGGAGGGGAGGGGCAGGGGCGCCGGCCGTTTTGAGACAGATCCGCGCGCTGTGCTGCCTGCCCCGGGATGCGCGCGGCGGTGCAGTATGGTGTTACCGACGAAACAAACGCTTGCCTTTGTTTAATCTCAACGATGCGCAGTTATAAAAATATTTATGAATATATATTGTACTACTTAAATTTGGCACCGGCAAAAATGTTGAGTTTATACCCATTCACATTTTGGCAAGAGAGTTTGGCATCTCAAAATCAGCAACACTCCTATTTTTTCACTCATTGACCGGGTGTGATAACACTTCTTCCTTTGCCGGATATGGTAAAAAGTCTGCCTAGCAAACATATTTAAGAAACCCAAAACTTACTAACACTTTTCAAGAACTAACCGAAATGCCAAGAGATCCTCCCAACTGCACGAGAGGGTAGAATTTGAAGTCTTCATGCACGACAAATTCTCGCATCCCGAATATCTGTTGACGCAGCCCGTAAAGAACTATCTACTAAAAAAAAAAGATGTTTTTTGATTGGCTTCCGCCAACTCGTGCGGCTCTTCATCAACACGTTTTAAGGAGCGCCTACCAAGCTGGTTACTGTTTTAGTCAGTGCTTTGTCCGAGAGCCAATTCACATGAAAACACGAAAAAATATGTGATAACGTGAGACGGGAGTCATTATGGTCAACTAATCCAGAGGCGTCCATCACCTGCAGAAAACTTTTGAGCTGCAGTTGCAAAAGTTGCGACACGAATCGATGCAAGTGCAGGTAAGCATCTTCGAAACCCCATGCAACTACCCCATTGCTATGCAATTGCGAAAATGGCATAGAACATGAGAGCAACAGCACAATCATTGAGGATCATGATGAGCCACTGATTAATGAACACATTTGGTTTAAGTCCATTCAAAAGCCACTTTAAAAGTTCCATCGAAAAAATTGATACTTCTAAACTTTCGCATATTATTAATTAAAATTTTTCTAGGATCATACTCTTAATTATAAATCTAACTGAAGTACTTCTGAATTCACAGTAACAATGAAAATTCCATTAAATTATTATTAAATAAACAAAATAGTCATCAAAAATATTTGGAAAAATTTGATCAACATAGCCATCTCACAAATAAATTTCATACATTCAGTCTCATAGGAATCAATATGTTGTGTCTCTAACGAAGTGGAAATAATTTGCTTAAGATACAACCTGCATGAGAGTTTAACAGCTGTTCTAATGATTGAAAGCTAGTCCATAAATATTGGGAAAATTTAACTAGGTCTCTCTTCATTTTTTTGGTCGTAATCTGATATAAGTCGTCCTGCAAGTAAAACAAAAACTTGACCAATTTTTCTTCCAGAGTATCAGCCAATGTTGAAACCTCAGGCGGTACCGGTACCGGTGCCGATGCCGCCCAAATGATTTGAGGGTGTGACATATCGAACTGTGACAAAAAATAAAAAAATTTACATTGTTTAAATGGGAGAATTCGCAACTTTACCACGTTATATACAAAAACCTGGACCACATTTCCAAAAAAAGAATAGATCGGGCTCATCTAGAGACAATTGGTGGTCGATAGCCGCAAAAATCATGAAAATCGGCCCGGTAGGTGCCAGAACTAAGCGTTATCAGAAATGAAGGTTTAGGAGGCTTAAGAGCTCATAGTATAGAAGATTACCTACGAAAGTGAAGCCTTATTTTAAAGGTATTTAGGGAGTGCGATATATTCATAATTATTTTCAAAACTGCGCATCGTTGAGATTAAACAAAGACAAGCGGTTGTTTTTTCAGTAAAACCATACTGCACTGCCGCCCGCGTCCCAGGACAGACAGCGCAGCTCGCGGATCTGCCTCAGAACGGCCGGTTCCCGCTCCCCGTCCCTCGATGGTTTTTCCCGTTCGGCGCCTTAAATATAAATCCCACAGAGAGATTGATAGGAACTAATTTTGCTCTTGATAAAATTTCACATCGTCGTCTTGCTGTAAAAAATTACGCTAACATCAACTGTTCGGAAGTTGGGCGAGTTCAAATAAGCGTCTAATCTGGTGTCCCCAGCTGTTTTAATCATCATAATCTGAGAAACATGGGCAGATAAATTTTTTTTCTCATTTTCCACACTATTGTTGACTATTACATGCTATTTTCCACTTTACTTGGACTGAAATAAAAATTTAGGAGAACTTTGAATATGCAAATTGCCTACATCTGTCCCAAATTTGCGTGTCCCCCATGCCTGGTTCTTGACTTTAAATCGATGTTGCAGCATAACTTGAGTGATTATTTAAGAAAACTTTATCAAAGATGATACGTAATGCTTTTGAATTTGAGAAAAAAAATATGTCAATTTCTTTTTTGCTCCATCAATAACTTTTTCACGCGCTAGAATCATTGTCCCAAGAAACAGTCAGCAACAGTCAGGAGAGACATGGCAACGATGTAATAAGCTCTAAATGATTGCTGTACCGTTGAGGTTTTTCCAAAAACGACTTTTTTTGTTTCGATTGAATAGTTCACACGTCGCAGATGGCAAAAATTCTGAAATTCACAAATTTTTGTGCATGATTAACGCCATTAACGATGCCAAACAAAATGCTATACACGATAACTAACAGGGCGTCAAGCATACACACACACACACACTAATATCAGCTCGTAAAATACTTTCGAAGTGTGCGTTAGGGAAATTTTTTTCTTATTCCGATACTCTAGGATGAGCTACTAAATAATCCGTGAAAAAAACCACCAAAATTGTCTTTACTATTAGAGATAAGCTTAAGAAACAGCCTATTTCCATTCTGTCCTGTTCCATCCTGTCCCATATGTTTCCATCCTGTCCCAGTGTCCCAGTTTAATGGGATAGAGTGGAAAACTGTTACAACTGAGACTTGCTTGTTTAAGCCCTGTAGGCACTCTTTTCTACCGATTTAAGTGAAACCCGGTAAGTAGGCGGGGGTATTTTTCGATGGGAAACTCGAATTTTTAGTCGAATTTTGAAAATTTGAAAATCCAAGATGGCTGACATGACCTAAAATGCTATCGTAGCGCCTAATCAACTGAGACTTGTTTGTTTAAGCCCTGTAGGCGCTCTTTTCGACCGATTTAAGTGAAACTTGGTACATGGCCTAAAATGCTATCTCAGCGCCTAATCAAACGATTTACGCGAAACTTGGTACCCGCGGGTATTTTTGGATGGGGAACTCGAATTTTAGTCAAATTTCCAAGATTCGAAAATCTAAGATGGTGGCCGTGGCTTAAAACACTCTCTCGGTGACTATTTAATTGATTTTGATGAAACTGGAAAATTTTAATAGGGGTTCAATAGGGTTTCTTATGTATCTTAGGCTACGAAATCGAAAAATTCCTGGGTTTTTTCCATCGTGCACAGATTCTCCCGGAAAATTGACTCTTCTGGAAAAGCAAGATTTTTAAGGAAAATTCCGATTTCTCCGGAAAAATTCCGGACTTTCCCAGGATAAATCGCATTGATACAGGTAAATGGAGGTGTTCTTCAGAATCAGCGCCAAAAATCTACTCCGAAACCATTGGCAAATCTTTGGAAAATAGAAAAAAAAAAAAAAAAAAAAAAAGTTGACCGGTGTAATTGTTATGTAAATGTAAGTCCTCAAACTTTTCCTGGCTTTATCTCCACTTCAGCGGGTACACGCCCACTCGAAGTTTTAAAATTCGGTGTTTTTGATCCATTTTGTACTGCAATATTCCAAGAAATAAAAGCTTCTTCTCGTGTTAAAGGAAAACGGTCCGCATTTTGATAAACAGACGGAACTGTCTAAAAGACAAGCAGAATAAGCTCCAGATATCTTTCATGACGGATGAATTTTTTCTCAATGTTTATGGTTCTGCAAGATATGAAAGGGTTACATGTTTTCAATTATGCTTTAATTTAGTGCTCGACGATGCTTTTATGAAATTGTGTTCAATTTTCAATTAAAAGTATTATATGTCACCTCTGAGATGAAAATTTGGGAAATCAGGCAAAATTAGAGCAAATTTTGGGAAGTGATACACTTGACGGTGGAAATTCGGGTTTAAACCCAACTATTAAGCTCGACGAGCTATATTTCCTAAGTCTACACCTAATGATAGTCAAAATAAAGTTTGCTTCGCCCAAAAATTGCCCAAAAATGGCCCAAAATGTTATCTTGGCACTTGTTCAATCTTTCTTGGGTAGTGTGATTTGGTACTCTGCAATGTATTTTGATCATAACTCTGAATTTAGGCTAAATTTTCAAAATGAAAAAGATCGAAGATGGTGGATGTGGCCCAAAAACTATCACCAGCCCTTATCCGACTGATTTATGTAAAATTCAGTATTATGGGGCGTTTCTTCAAAGGATAATTGAATTTGAGGTCCAAGTTACTAACACGTAGATGTCCAACATAACTATTTCAGCACAGTTTTGAACCATTCATGTGATTCTTCATATCCAAGAGAAATTGGCAACAAGGGCATTCAAGAAATCTACAAACATAGAACCTGCAAGGGATACATTTCGCTGAGTGAACTCTCACATCACATTATATTGTTACCATTGTTAATTTTCTTTTCTTCTTTTCTTTTTCTTCTTTGAGTAGTGAGTTGGGCGCAGTGGAGAGGATGAAATTATCATTTTATCATTTTTCTAGGGATGAAATTATCATTTTGACCAAAGATATTCTGTTGAACAAAAGGAATAAAACTATTATTTTGCAACCACAAAGTGTCTCGACTAACCTAAAAATGAGGGTCTTTTCATTCCATGTTCAAGGATTTGTTTCAGTGCTGGACAAAGATTGCCTCTTATTAGATGCATGATTGTTTCAGAAACTGAATCATCTCCGGCACTAGAGTACAGTTTACTTCGCTCATCTAGAAGTTCGACAAATTTAGCAGGAAACCAGCCTGAAAACAGAGTAGAGAAAAATTTGCCTGTAAATTATCTTTTTGCTTCAAAAGCAGAGACAAATTGTTCGACAACAAACTATGATCCAAACTCGCTCCACTGACGCTGATCAGAAACGACCAATCAGAGTCACCAGCAGGGAGGAAAGTGAGGCCTGATTTAACTACTTAGGTCGGTCATTGCGCATATCCCCCTGCCCATCCATCCCCTAACCCCTCACCCTGTCCATCGAGTTAATGATGTAAAAAGAACCTAACCTGGCAGAGAGAATTCTAATTGCAATTACAAGCGTTCGCATGGGAGTACTGCAATTTTTTAAATTCAGTTTATGAAATAAAAAAGGGCAAATTTGTTTATTAAAGGTGTTCATGGACAAGGATAGGTATTTGAGTTCGGATTACTGAAAATAATATGACTGTTATAAATCCTTCCAAGTTTTAATTCCCTACTGAAGTAACTAGAATTTGCTTCGGAGTAACATTGTTGCTGCTGTGAACGAAAATCATACCAAGGCTCACGTGCTAACATATTGAGAAAAGGAACGATATACTTCCAGTTGGCAAAGTATTATTTGGGCTGATTTTATGAAACGGGAGAATTGAGGTTTCCTACTTTAAAAAAAAAAATTCTTTAAAGTATGAAAACCAAACATTTTTTGAGGCCATATACATCCATCTAGGGGAATATTATCTTTTTCACACGCTTTCAGGTTTTGTTTGATAGTGAAAAGAGTTTTATGGTCAGAAAACCGTGTTCAGTTGTAATTATGGTGACGCTGTTTACTTGTCCTTAACTTTTCATGGTTTCAACTTTTACACATTAAGAAAAGCAAATATCTCTTTGAGATTGGTAGTTTTATAATAGGAAATGCAAGAAACATCCGTTGGTACACCAGATGAGGAGTTTTGGGTGATGGAACGTAAATTTCCTAGGTTCTTAAGGTATTTTTCTTTTATATTCTCCATTGTCGCAATAATTTTTTTTTCAAACATCATTGACGTAAATTCTTGTCAGATACACTCCTAAGACTTACAGAAAAATTCCCTAAATATTTCTTTATTGATGAAGTCAACAAAATGAGTAGAAATAAAGAAGTCACCTGAATTACATACGCGCTATTAGAATTACAAAATCATCATTAGAGCTATCAAATGACGCTGAGTTTCCCCGTTTTCACGAATGAACACTTGTACATGCGCTAAAGTATGTCCGTGAAAGTATGTACTTACGCTAATGTGTGTATGAGAAAATAAGTAGGATAACGTATTTTCTATTTTTGTGTAGAAAACTCCTGCTTAGTACTCCATCATCTATAATGTCGTGAATTTTGCCCTGACGAATGACAGTTTTTGATATCCTTTGGATAAACTCCTTTTATTGATCAAAACAGGATGAACTTATTGATTTCTACGGCAGAAAGTGGTTTTCTCTACTGATAGCTATCGTCAGAAAGGGGTCGTTCATAATATACGTAATGTTGAAAATGGATATTTTGACTCCCCATTCCCCCCTATCCCACCCGTATATAATGCAGGAATGTACCTCCGTAACACATTTTCTAACGCTCTGTCCAACCCCTTCCCCCTCATGTTAAGGTTTTTTTCATGACTTTTGATGAAAATTTGCCACTTTGGGTCACCTTGGGGGGGGGATGTTTCATCAGTCCCACTCCCCCTTCTTGAACTTTTGAACCGTTTAAGATACAAAAACTAAACTTTGGGCATATTTCTGTCTCAGAGGGGACCATCTTCTAATGGTTTCAAAATATCGGCCCCTTCCTTCAGGGAGGGGGGAGGTGGGGGAGCCCCCAACTTTTTTTTTCAAATGGTTAGGTACCTTGTGATACCTCATTGAAAAGAACATTAAAAACTAAGAATTTGAGCGCAATCCGCAAATCAATATCTAAATTTTTGACCGGATTGTGATACGTCTAAAGTCAAATTTGATCTATTTTTAAGAAACCATAGCTCCCGTCCAACTTATCACAGGAAAAATATTTAAACGGAAAAATTTACCAAATTGTAAGCACTTATAAGAAAAATTCGCAGGAATCACTTCAAATTAATTTTAAGGGGGATTTTGTACTAGGGGTGTTCAAACAAATGCTTGCCGGAGCGCTATCAGTAACATCTCTTACCAAAATTGGTGGCAGTATGTATCAACAGTGGCGATGATATCGTTAACAGCCCGCCTTATCGGAGTTTTGAGAGCTCGCACTCAATGCATTGTTGCCCCATGTGTCAATTTGTCAGACTGCCTCGCGCGGCAGCGCGTAAAATAGATGTACAAATGGCAACAGCTTATTTTCGTCAGCTCCGAAAACTCAGATCACTATCGGTAAGAGCGCTCTTATCGTAACTTATTCTTAACGGAACTGTTTCGGTAGCTTACCGACAACCGATAGAACACCCCTATTTTGGACTCTCAAATACGTCAGTTCCAAAGTCATACGATTTTCCTGTAAAATAAGCCGATTCTTCCTGACTTTGCCCCAACATCATGTCGGCAAGTTCAAAATTAGTTCTACGTTACGTTCTACACGGTAAAGTTTAAAAAAATGAAAAAACGATCATAAATTTAATCACATTAAAGTCTTAAAGTGTTTTTGAACTTTACCCCGATATTTGGGGACTTGGGAACGTAGTGTTGAACTGGTTTTGAACTAAACGAGATAAAGTTGGGGTAAATTTGGGGAAAATTGGTTCATTTCGCGGGAAAATCGTATAAATTTTCATCTGATGCGTTTAGGGGTTAGAACCCCCCCTCCCCTAAAATTGGTTTGAAGTGATTCCTACGACTTTTACCTAAAAGTGCTTATAATCTGGTATCTGGTAAATTTCCCCATTTTAAATTTTTTCTGCAATAATTTTAACCAGACTTGTGATTTTTTGAAAATAGGTCCAATTTGACTTTTGACCTATCATAGCTAGGTCAAAAATTATGATATTGATTTGCACTTTGCGTCGAAATACTTAGTTTTTAATGTTCTTTCCAATGAGGTATCACAAAGTAGGGATTAGGGTTTGACAAAAAAAGTTGCCCCCCCCAACCCCCTGAGGGAGGGGCCAAAATTTTGACCCCCTTAGAAGATGGTCTCCTTTGAGGTAAAAACATTCCCAAAGTTTCGTTTTCGTATCTCTAACGATTCAAAAGTTATAGGGGGAGGGGGAATTTTAGAATACCCTGTATTCATTATTTCAAGTTTTATTAAACAACTAGAGTTTTATGTGCATAATTCAGCACTGAATATTGCTACTTTAGCTTGTACTGCACCTGTAATGCATTCACCACCTTCCCAGAGGGGAAGAAGGTCCCCCTTCCCAATGAATGCCACGTATTTTATAAACGGTCCCATATATTATAGTAGTTTTTGGTGACGCTTGTAGTCCCAAGTGATGTCACCAGAAGTTACGTTTTCGCACAGATACATTGCTCGTGCAAATGCAAATGGCACCAAGAGCAAAGTAAGGGCGGTCATGTTATCATGTCATGCATATCTGTTAGAAATGAAAGATATTCTGATAGTGAAATGAAATTATGCAGTTTGAGAGACATTGCCAAAATTCCACTGAATAAGTGTGACACTCGATTTTTCATCTAACAAACTTATTTTTAGCAAGTAATAAAACATGAATCCGATTAAACTGAGCTCCACTTTGCTTGATAAAACTCACTGTACAGACAAAAACAAACAAAAAAAAAAAAAACGCATAAAAGATATCGGCTGGATACAGCAGAGGCAAAAAGCAGAGCGTCACCAGAATTACCTGAGACACGGTTGCACATCTTACAGCTCACCTAGCGCCAGTCTACTTTAAGGAGTGCACTTAAGATTGTCATTTCATCAAAGTTGAGGATATGACTGAGTTAAAATATCGTCTCCGAAAAATCTCATGTGATGGTGAATGCATTTTATTCGCTTGAAAAGTTAGAAAAGGACCCCGGTTAACGTCACCAGGGGTTACATTTCTAACTTCTCCCTTGAAAAAAAATAGCTTAAGACCAGTTAAGAGGCTGACGCATTTTTCCTAGTTTCCTGTTTCACTTAGAAAGAGGAAACAAAAAGAAATTTGTTGAAAAACAAAAATTGACGAAAGGATGACGAGGTTACACGAATTCTCCTGTTAAATAAAATCGGCTCATACCCGGTTGTTTTCATTTGCTGATAAGAATTTTCTTCTATCTTATCTATCTATTGCTCGATATGTGCAGATATGTGTTAGAATTACTCAGTTTCCTTATTTCTTTGGATGTCATCACGATCAGGCGTCAAAAAAATGTAGGGAGCGCCACCGCAGTGTTTGATTTTTTGGTCCACGCTATTAGAGTCCGTATAGCTCCACGTTAGTCCTTGAGCTTTTATGAAAGTTAAAGGAATTTCTGTTTAAATCGAAGAGTCATAAGTTCTAGCAATAACATTCTTCTTCCTATCGACACTGAAAACGACGTGAAAAGTAATTTGTGAAGCTCTGAAACTTGATCCCAGAAAAAAGTAGGGTTAAGCGTGATGACCTTGATGCAACCAATTGCGATTGATCGCTCTCAGCAGTTGCAGATATCTCTCTTCCATCGTGAGCTGCCTCTCTTGCACTTACAGATATCCCATAAGGGAAACGGGGATCAAGTTATAGCTTTTATTATTAAACTTTCAAAGCTTGCGTTTGTTTCTAAGGATTCCAGACGTACGCTGCTAGAACTTATGAGTCTTAGACTTTAAAATATCTATTGTGATATTTAAATAATCACTGATTTCGGAGCCGGATTTCAGCAGCGCGACATGGTGGATTTTTTCGGAACTACAGCTGAAAATTCACCTTAAATAGAGAAAGGAAGTACTTATCAACCTCTCTTTGCAAAATAATAAATATTCAGAAACTTGTTTCCTTAGAGGATCAATTTAAATGGATGATTCCATCACCTTTATAACTTCACTTTCAAATTTAAAAAAGTGTCCCTCCCATAAGAAAAGCATTGAAACAAGTCTCTAGAATTTTCCCTCGGTCACAAGTGACATCATGCGCAGACAGGTCTCGATTTTATCCTCCCGAACGACTGACCTAAGGATCATGAGTGAAGCATGATCAGTGTACAACATCGTGCAATGGGCTTTGATACCAGCTCCAAACCTCTGCATTTCCCTGACCACTAAAACCAGTGGTTCTCAATCCGAGATAAACAGCTGGTTGTAGCAAATCAGTGGTTAGGAAAAAATTCTGATCAATTAAACTTGACTTTTTTTCCTTTCATACATTTAAAAATCTACATATTGAAAAATACAAGGAAAAATAATTGGAATTAGAATTGGAATTGCCAAGTTCATCAGAAAGGAACCAACCCACATTGAATTGAAACTGAGAAAAAGAGGTTTGAAGTTTTATTCCTGCATAAGGCTCAATGTAGAAAATAAACTTTAACCCCTCTTTTCACAGAATAATTCCTTTTTTTTTACTTTCAATTTTCGGCAGGAGAAAATGTACGGCTTGTGGAACTCAAAAACATTCTCAACTCAATTTTTTCGAAAATGAGGGTTGGTTCCTTTCTGATAAACTCTGTTAGAACTAGATAGGAATTAGAGATACCTTACCTCTTAAGCTATTCAATTCACCAACCCAACAATGTTCATCTTTTTGGCTAACTATTGTGATTATGTCATTTTTTCGAAACCCAAGTTCATCATCATCATTGCGTTCAAAGTCTGCAAAAGTTAACAACACAGAAATCATGAATCCTCTTTCACTATGAATTATCTTGTGACTGAGAAGTTTTTCCTGAAAAGAATCAATTCAGCACTTATCTTTTGACTCTATACCTAAACTAAAAATTAATTGTGAATTCCTGAGGACCGAAACAAAACAATTAAGGATGGGGCATTTTTTACTTTTTTATTATGATCACATCCATAAGATAATAGACTAGCAGCTAGCTTACAGAAAAAACTAGGAGCTTCAGTCAATCAAGAGTATTTATAACGAATAGATCATCTCCAACTCAGTTCAGATATTGTTATTAACTCTGGAGTGATAAGCAATAGATGAACTTAATTATCAGATTACCTTCTGGAGAACAACGTGTGTAAGTAATATTTTTTACAAACCAAAGTTTGCAAAACCAATGCTGTCTGTGGTAAAAAAAGAATTCTCATAACATTTCAATGAGTTGGAACCAAATGATGGCAAATCGTTGCCATCCATTCACTCTAAACGTCTGTCTTCAACACTTGTATCCGTTTTGAATCATTCAAGTTTAAAAGGCCTAAAATGAACGAAAGAAAAAAGTATTTATGAGCCTTCAGGCACTCAACATGAAATCATTGGAACGTAGAGGGTTGATTGGATGAGTCAACTGACGAATAAAAATAAATCAAAACTCCAGTACGATGGCTACGGAAAAATACCGCTTAACTGACAATTTTGGCAAAAAGTAATCAGGAACAGTGCTGAATTCTGCGATTCTACATATAGTATAAAATACGGAAGGTGATGTTTTAAGTTTTTTCAAACTCTGTATGGGAGCGCTGAAATGACACTATAATATATAAAAAATGGAAACTTGAGCTCAAAAATTACAAAAATGGCAAAGCTTTTTCCTGTAAAGTCGCCCATTGCAAAGTGAGCAGCATTCTTCCTTGGCCGCTGATTGACAATAAGCCGACTGCACACACAGCAAATGGGGACCTGCAAGTGACTGCAAGTGGCTCATCGGTTGCATCAGTGATCGTGCAAATTGCAGGGCCCTCGCAGTTTGCATTAATCAACACTCAACACAGCGGCATCGATGTGCCACTTGCATATCCCCATTTGCAGTCGGCTTTAGACAAGATTGTCCCGAGTTAATCAAAGGAGGATTCATCATTGGATAATACTTTACAGGCAAAAGAAGATATTTTATTAAATAGCTTACCTAGAGATTAGAAAATTTCGCCGCCATTTCCCGGATTTCACTTAATCTCGTGGAATCCGCGAAATCGGCAAAATCCGTGCATTTTCGTGAAATTTACGTTTATAAGTGTGTGAGACGAAGTTTGCCACACTTTTTTTCAAAGTCAAGAAATTAGAAATTACAGAATTTTTTTTGAGCATTGGTCGTCATGGGCAACTAGCTATCAACATTCGCCAATGGCATCAAAATACTGATGGAAAAAATTGCGGCAACCAGGGCATAAACATAATTAAGAAAATAAAGACGGACGCACACTGATAGAAAGTGCCTTCCCAAGGTTAGCAACAGATATTTTTCAGTGGCGTGGCGTGAAGGATCGATTATCAATATTTCTCCATTTGAAGCTGTAGTGCAGAATCGATTTAAATGGCAAATTTATTGATATATCGCAAAGCATGCCACGCCACTGATATTTTTTAATCAAGAAAAAATTAATAGTCTTCATGTGCTTCTGTAAAATAGGACTATAGAGAGAGACTGGTGGCTTGTTAAATCAAATTAAAAGCTTCATTTTCAGCTGTCAAACGTAAAAAGCACTACAAAAATAACGGCGAAATCGGCAATAAATAAGAGAGGAATTCGGGGACAAAAGAGCAAAATTGGGAAAATATAACAGCGAAATTTTCCAATCTCTAAACTTACCTAATAGTGCTTTTGCTCTTCGTTTTCGATTCCTTGAAACGTCTAAAAAAGCCTCATGATCTTTAGCATGACTGTCAAGTGAATAATCAGGTACAAGAGTAATTTTGCTAAATTTTGGGTCAAGAGAACCAAAATGCCGAGCAACCAAAAGTATACTCTGCCTTAAGTCTACTAAAATTTCTGTGAAAAAGAAACATACAACAGTGAAACTTGGTTTAAAAAACGGACCACTAGACAAGGTACGAATTAATGCATTCTAATTGGCAGGTTTTCACATCAAAATTTCACGTAGAACACGATTTGTATGAAGAAAATTACTGAAAGCAACTCCTAACCAAGAAATTTATTTTTTTTGACAATTCAAACTTCACACTCCTTGAAAATAAAATAATCTACTTAAGTTGTATTGCACATTAAACGTTGCCATGACAGACTTTACTCTGTGAATATATGACTACTTCAATACCGACACCTGTGCTTAGCTATTGCACATTTTTTGTGCCTTGAATGACATTGGATGAAGATGGAACCCTGCTCGTTGAGAAGCTTGCCAAAACTGTCGCCGTTGGCATTTCGATTCAAGCAGACTCTTGTTTTTCTTGCTAGTTGGAAATTCTAATTTTTTGGAACTAATGCTGAATAAAAACAGGCTATCTTTGTCAGGAGTTTCTATCAATAGTTTTTGTTTCGCAAATCGTGTTGTAAGTAAAATTTTTAGGAGGAAACATATATCATATCAGAATGCTTCAAATCATACTTTGTCTGGAGGTGTACTATTGGTAAAAGCATAATACAAAAGCTATGAGGAAGCAAACTCTTCCTAGTCCAGTGAAAACCCGTATTTTTTTAAAGCAAAATCTGTTCCTCACAGGAAATTTTACTGTAAAAAGTATTCAATTAAACAAAGGAATTTCCTGCTCAAATTAAATTGTTACTAGAGAAGCGAATTTTCACTTGAAAATTGTTTTTGCCAACCCACAGTAATTTGTTACAGTAAAATTTTACCATCAATGGTTTTATTATCATGGAATAAACGAGAACATTAGAGTTTTAGATAGATATAAAATAGATATTTAACTGACAAATGTTAAGTTGCAAGGTTAATCTTTCCCTGAATTGGAAACAGACATCTTACACTAGAGGTTTCAATAGAAAATTACAAGGAAATAGCCAAGAGTGAAAAATTCACGAATCTTTTTCTGAATGAGAGATATGTCCAAGATTGAGATCATCAAATACACATATTATTATCGTTATATTGTAGCTCTAAGGTCACAAAATTCGTGCCAGGAATTCCTCCCCCCCCCCGCGCGACGCGCCGCGCAGGCCCACCGACCGCTCACCGCAGCGGTAGCCTCCCTCCTTCTCACAGCACCGCGACACCCGTCCTCCGCCGGCTGCAGAGCCGAGTCCCCGCCCCACCACCCGCACCCCGTATCGCGCCGCGCTCATCGGCTTCTAGAACACTACGCAGCCGTGGCCAGTGGTTCCTTTCCATCCCCCTCTTCAGTTTCTGCAAGCACTGCAGCCGGTACCAGGGAGGCTCCTCTTTCGTCCTTCCAAGAATTTCTAGAATTTTCCAAGACATAAGGAGGGCGTCACATGGCGACGAGTAGTAACTGTTTCTGGAACTTTCTATAACTCTCTCGAATTTTCATCATTCAGGTGACCGTTAGGAAAACGATGACCCTTATTAATCCTCTCCAGAACTTTATAGAATTTTCTCGAACTTTCGCAAGGTGTCATGACTGACAATAGCTTTGCCCAAAATTTTTTGAACTCCCTCAAATAGTCTCCAGGCGATGCACAATTAAAGTGATGCCCTTGTCGCATCCTTTCGGGAGCTATCTAGAATATTTTTATACTTTTAAAAAAGTGCAGCAGGACGGCGAGTGACATTTGTTTCTGGAACTCTCTAGAATGTAATCAAAGTGGTAGTGACACGCATGTGGCTGGCAAGGCTACAATCACTCGTGGATTGAATGATGAGGGTCCATGGGCAAAGCCCCCTGTCTAGCCGCCGAATAATTACTCTATACTAGTCGTTCCGGGACGGCTAGTATGTATAGAGTAATTATTAAAATAAAAAATGAATCTCTGATGGTTAAAAATTAAGACTGAGAACCAAATATAATGACTGTTTACAGGTAGAGATGGTCCAGCCTAATCCATCAACTGTCAATGATCATAGACTAGGGTTTTTTTCTCTTGGACAAAGTACTAAGGCTTTTTCTCCTTGGTCATATGTGGCTGTCTCTTTCTGTGGACTGATTATTCATTTATACGATATTCTCAATGCAGTTTTTGTTGCTCAACCAAAAAAGGAAAGAACAAGGTTGGATATCATACCAGTTTGGCGAATATTTTTATTCTTGGTATCTTCTTCATCAGTTTCAAGGCCAAATAATAACAGCTGCATGACAGTCTTTGATTTTTTGAATTGTCTTCTGAAATTTAAAATAACGGCATAGTAAATACTCGTCCAATAAAATTTAAAAGGGAGTATAATGTCATTGTTTTTTTTTCTTTCAAGGTATGCCTGATGAAAATTTATTAAACTCAAGGTGTCAACTGCTTTGTATTCATGATCTAATTAAAAATCTTCTAACCTGAGCAGAATGCACATTGACGGTGAAACTTCCAAACCACGTACCTTTTTTGTGGTGTTTAAAAATCTCCACTCCCGATTTATGTATTCTTAATGCAGACAAATCAACATCATTTCTGTAAGTTTTTCAGAATTCTCTTCCCACAGAGAAGAATTATCACAGAAGTTCTTAAGAAATGACATTGAAGAGTTCATCCATTTAAGAATTGAAATAAGACACAAAGTCTGTAATGTTGCAAACCGTGATACGCAGTTTGGGACTTTCATCATTGCTATCTCATTGAGAAGAGAGAGTAAAACATTAGAAACTTGCCTGGAGAGTCTGTTATAAGAGTTTCCAAGTAATACAGTCCTAGGATATTAAAACTCATATATTAGTCAGCTTACTGTAAACAGGGGAGGGGGATTGAGCGTATGTAATATAGGGACCAAAACATTTATTAAAAATAATTAATTAAGTTATAGAAAGAACTCACATACCACACCTACTACAATAATTTCAGCAGTAAGGGAAAAGCGTGCTCGTCAGGCCGCCAGATGTACAGCTTGACTCACAGCTCGACGAGCAATTTATTTAAATTTATTTTAATGAAATGAACATATCTGGCCCCAGGCAGACACGAACCTGAAACCTCATGCTACCCAGTCAGGCGTTTTAACAGATCAGGCTTTTGATTCTTATTGCACCAAGACAAAATTGACAATATTTCAGATGTTAAATCTTAAAACTCCTGTCCATTTAGAACGGTATCACAGCTGAAGCTGATCAAGTAACCACTGAAATGCTGAGCATGAATTCTTTTTCTGACGTATTCTACTCTTTATCTTCCAAGCCTCACCGATCCTTCTTCCAGGTATGTTCCATGTTTGCACCTCTTTAAAAACACTACAAAGTGCGTCGATCCATCTGGCCCTCACAAATTAGCATATTGTGATGAATTTTGAATGAAAAATTACTACTTTGCGTCAATTTTCCTCTGAGATTTTCGAAATATTCTAGTATTATGCAGTACAATCCTAAAGGCCTCTTACCCCCTCCCTTGAAAACGATCGCATATCGCGGACTCAGACCCTTCTCCCCCCCGAGAAGATTACGTACTTTATATGAGCAGCCCCAAACAAGTAAGAAATAGGATTGCAAAATCACAAATTTACTTGTGGCGAGCGAGTACTGTTAGATGAAGATTTTTTTAAGGTGACAGTAGCCTCCGCCAGGGTGGCAAAATTTCATGAAAAATAAAATATTGAATCTTCACATGAAATATTTTATGAAATATTTTCAGAAATTGATGAAAGATATTGAAAAATACCGGTACCTTTTCAAGTTTCAGAAAATGTAAAAATAGTGACTTTCTTCTATTTTCGTATGTTTGACTGCAGGTTGCATACTTTAGCCCCTGAAAAATATGAAATATTTCACAGCCTCGTAAATTTCATGAAATATTTCACTGAAAGTTCCGATCTTTCATTTCTTTTTTTCGTTTCATGCCACCCTGGCCTCCGCTCCTCCTCTATCTATTTTGGAAGAGAAACTGAACTTTTTGCAGTTAGATAGATTTCAGTTAATGTCTATCTCCAATGGATACCAGATAAACTCCTTTTGCATTAATACACCAAATTCCCCTGGTGCCTGCCTTGAATGAAAATATAAGCAAACCTGTTCAGCCGCTGCTTGGGTAAACTTGAAATAGCATCAATGCTTCCATCTGCTCCATTTTGGTCCGCCATTATAAAAGCCAGATGTTTTCTCCGTTGAGTATCAATCATGATGGGGTTGACTGTTGAGGCTACCTCAAAAGAGACCTGAGGAAAAAATGGAAACATCATAACTGGACCACGTTAAGCAGAAAGGAACCAAGCCACATCAAGCTGATCTTGAGAAAATTGAGGTGACAGGATTACTGTTCATGCAATTCTAATCCGATGGGAATGGTTGAAATTTGAATTTTTACTGACTAGTATCTTCATGAGAGACTTCTTGACACCTATAAAGGTGAAATAAATGTTTTACCAATTTAATTATCTGTGTTTTCGGTCAATGGTTCCCTGCTGCTTCTTTTTAAATGGGCGAAATCAAATCAGAGAAAGGAACCAAGTACCACTTGGTTTTGTGGAGGATCGTATCAAGTCGGAGGACGAATTCATAGAAAGGAACCAAGCCCACTTGAATCCTCTCCGTTAATTCGATTTTGAAGATAGCGGGGACTTGGTTCCCAGCCCAGCAAAGCACGTATGCGCAAAGTTGTTGTTGATAGAACTTGGTTTGAAAACAAAAATAGATTTTACTGTACTTTTCACTGGCGAAAATTTCGTGATTCAAGTAAAGGAATTTTCGCTTCCATTTTCAAGGTTTTTTGTAATTATAAAGGTCACTTACCCTGATTAGCTCTTCTACATCATAAATGCTACCAGGAACATCTGACAATGCGTTAAAAATATCAGCTGCATTCTCCAAACTCTGCAGCATCGATTCTGAAAAAACAAAAATGGACAACCTTATAATAAAACGTGAAAAAATTGGACTGATTTAGAAAACAGATGCAATTACATCTGCTAAATTGACAAGAACAGTTTCATAGTCATAGTGCATATAACACATTCAAGAGCAGTTTCTACTACACTTGGATGGTAGAACCGAAACTTCTCAAGCCTGAGTTTGCAGCTGTGGACAGTTTCTGTCACATCTTATTCTAAGGAAAGAAGTTGAACCTTTTTCTGAACAAAAGAAAATGAAAAAACAAAAAACAAAAAAAATTTTCAAAAAAAACGGGGGAAAAAATTAAGAAAAAAACAGGAAAAAATAAACAAAAACAGAATAGAAAAATAATAAAAATAAGATAAAATGAACAAAAAACTTCTTCAAATATTAGTACTGTGATGTGGTGAAGAAGCTTACCCATTATTTTTAATGCAATGCAAAAACAAATGATGCTACAAAATCTAATCAATGACATACAGTGGAAATCCGATATTACAACATCGCTTGTAATGACGAGCGATCTGGTAGGTCCTGTGACTAATATCCCATTAACTCAGAGTATTTGTGTATCGGTTATAATGTCATTCGGATATAAAAACCAAATGAGGCTGGTCACTAGAAGGTCGATGTATCCAATTTCCACTGTAGTTCTGTGAACAATATGGTCTGACATTTAACGGTAATTAAAAAAAATTAAATACATGAATTTATACAGGATCTGAACTCTGCAGGGGACCAACAGTTTTACTTCATTTTTAAAAAGTTTGACAGAGGATCTTAATTTATCCACTAATTCCCCCATTTTGGACCACTGAGCGATGAAAGTTTGTGAAGCTGAACACAATTTAATGCATTAAGGCCCGATAAGAACATTATTAGCCATGAACTCTGCAGGAGAGCAACAATTTTACTTCTATTTTTAAAAAGTTTGACAAAGAATCCTGTTCCGTCCACGACTCCTCTTCATTTTGGACCACTGTGCCGACAAAATTGTTGAAATTGACCACAGTTATATGCGCAGGGGCCTAATAAGAACCCCATCGAAGGTGTAACTTTTATAAATATTTTTCTGTCTTTTTGCTGTAAAAATGCTGTCAAGAATGATCGCGATTTGGCAACTTTGTCCTCCCCCCCATTTCGCAAAAACTGTGCGAATACTAACGCAAACGTTTTTTACCAGAGTTTTAGGGTACCATAAGATATCGTTTGGGCCGGTTTTAGAAAAATCCCTACGGTCCCAAATTGTGCCATTCTTAGGGTCACTCTTTGTTATTCGAGATGTGAAATTCATTCTAGAAAACAAGTAGAGGTGATTGTTGTTCCTGACATTTTTGTCATGTTCCCTAACATTTTCAGGTAATCCCTTACTTTTTAAAATGGATGGTGTTATTTGGCGGTATGGCACCCTGACCATCAAATCCTCCAAATATCGCTGAGGTGCCTTTACTGGATAATTTTATGACCACTAACCCCTACCGCTAAGGGGCCGTTCACAAATTACGTAAGGCACTTTTTTGGATTTTTAGAACCCCCCTCCCCCCCATAAGGCACTCGTAAGGCTAGCCTGGACCCCCTCCCCCAAATAATTACGTAAGGCTGGCCAGACCCCCCCCCTTCTATCGTTTAAATGAATAATTTAATGAAAAAATTGTGTTGAAACAAAACAGTATTATTTAAAACATTACTAATTGCTGGCAGGAGATCATAAAGAATAACAGTTGTATTGAAAAAGTAACCAGTTTTTAAATTCAAAAAGTTCTGAAAAAATTACATTTTAACAAAAATACATTAAACGTCTACCGTCTAAAACAAAACGAACTTTGAACTATAGTCTGCCCCAAATAGGGAGAGCGCTGGAAAATCAGAATAATTAGCACTATTTGGCGGGTTGGGGGTGCCTCCACCCTCGTCACTTGTCATCTCGTCGCCTCTCACATGCATCGCACAGAGGGGCACAAGTCACTTTGAGGCAACGCATACTCCCTTCGCATCTCCAGACCAGGATAGGCGATTTAAATCCCTGATTATTGACATTAATCGTCGCTCCTCTGACCAAAGTTCTTATCTCCATTTTTACGTGAGCTCCGAAAAGCATGAAGCTGCATAGACAACTACAGGCCTCACGTGAAAATCGAGGTATGCCTTAGCGTCACAGGAGCCTCGATATGTGGCTGAATAGCAGCATTTCCATACGCGTAGCTGCAAATATTTTTTGATTATTTCTTTTCCAGTCTGTTCTGCTGTAGTTCAGAGGGTACCCGTTGTTTGAGACTGTTAAAAGTATGGCATGTTGCTCCCAGATTTTGGTCCCAAACGCTTAAATTATTAAGAAGGAGAATGAGAGAGAACGAAGTGGAGGGGGGGGGGAGGGGATGCTCAAAATTTGGTGGCCCTGAAAAGGGCCGTTTTCGACGAGGCTCAAAGATTAATAACATCTTGAGCATTAGGTAGATGATTACTGTTGTGATCATCTTTTTCTGGGGGCAAGAACTCAATTCCGAGGCTGTAGCCGTCTTCTTTCAGGAAACCTGCGACGCTTTCGTCCATTGTTTTGTCTTCTGCTTCGTCATCAGATTCAGACCAATCAGATTCTTCCTCGTCATCAGCGCATAGATGGATCAAAAATTGCTCAACCTCCTCATCCGCCAATCCTTCTCGTTCACAGGCAGCCTCGACTTCATTCTTCACATGCGTGGCGTAAGATTTCCAATCCTCCGTAGAAAATTTGTTTGTTTTTAGAAAACAGCCTCTAGGAAAAGCTCTTTGACCTCGTGAAATCTCCTCGTGGTAGTCACCCGTCTTCTTCGAGGAAAAAATTAGGGGAGGTGCAGGTATCCATCCTGTGCTACTGCCAGCATGACAAATTATCTGTCTCTCTCCTTTCCCAAGCTTAGGATCGCTGATGTGTGCTTTGACGGTACCATCTGAAATGCTGTGGGTTGAGCAGGTGTTTTTATTGATTCATGTTTTATCCAGGAAAATAACTTTTTCTCAGTCGATCTTCAGGACAGAGCGCAAGAAGAAACACCTCGCCAAAGCAATTGCTGGTTTCTCCATGAGAACGACGCAATTGTTCAGTTTTCTGTAGGTAAAACCTAGTTCTTGGAGAAGGTGGTGAAGTGCAGATTGTGAGCTTTTTTAAAGGTCAGCTTCAGCCAGAGATTACAGCAGCTTATCCAGCGTCGGCACATTTTTATCACGGTAGTAACCGTATATTTGCCTCCGAATAGCTTCAGCATCAAAGTCGTCTACTTCCTTGCCTTTCTTCTTACGCGTCTTCCCAGGTGTTGAAAACTTCGACTTTTTCTGCGACGTCACAAGCTCGGATTCCTTCTTGATTCTTCTGACAGTACAATATCCAAGGTCTAGCCTTTGGGCAGTCCTCTCCAAGACTTGGTTGATGCCCAGTAAGGGTCCGTTGTTCTGCTTCTCCTTTTCGAAGTACTTGATGACTCGAGCGACAAATTTGCGAGCTTGCGAGTGGAGCACTTGCCTCTTTCCATTTTTTGCTGCCATCGTCCAGTGGTGTTGCTCCAGTAACGTTCAGAATACGAGTGCGAATTAAGCACGGAATGGACTGCATTATATCCCTCATTGATGGATTACCATCTACCAATAAGGCGCCGCCGCGCCGCGGAGCTCATAACCAGCCCTCTGTGCAATGCAAGGTTGACTCGGTGATTAAAAGGGTATCAATAGAACGAACGATACCTTGCTTCTACATCGTGCAAATTATTCTGATTTTCCAGCGCTCTTCCTATCTGGGACAAACAATAGTCAGTCTTTACATTCAAAAGCAGTCAAAATCAATAGCCCACCAGTACACACTTCAGAAACCGGCTTCATAGTTTCAGGCTACCCTAAAAATTTTGCACCTTTTCCCTGATCAGTTGTGTTTTCGTCAAAGTGTTGATTGCATGTAATAGCAATGCAATATTCGTAAGTTTTTTAAGTGCATTTAACTGTAGAAATTTTGAAGTGCTCATGGAGAACAGTTAAAGTTTACGTGAACATTAAAGCACTGAATTACCTAAGTGCATTTTCATTCCGCCTGAAGTGCTTAGCATTATGATGTTACCTGCAGCATGTATACTTAATATTGGCACCTTAACGGTAGGACATTAAAAAGTCATCCGGTAAAGGCACCTTAGCAGTAGGAAGTTTTCCAGTCAGCGGTCGAAAAGTCATTCACTAAAGACATCTTAGCGATTCTTAGAGGACTTTCTAGTCAGGATACTGTACCGCCAAATAACCACTTCGTTTTAAAATTCCCAGACATTTTCCAGTATTCCCTGATTATGGTAACCCTATCTTACTTGAGCACATTGGGCAAATGTGGCTGAACAGTCTTGATTTGAAGCGCATTTACTTCACGGTGTCATGCAAAGTATTAAGTTTGGTTTTGTGAGAAAATAGATTAAAACAAATATAAAAAAAAACGAACCTTTGATTTTCAACATTCCTAAACTGACTTGGAATAATACTATGCAGCCGTCTAGAAAAAACAGGTCCCATATCCTAAGAAGAACCTTCATGTGAATCACAGATGCAAATAATGTAACAAACCAATGAAGAGAAATTAAAGAAAGTTCAATATCATGGTTTTTTAGCACATTGTCCACTTCTGATAAATAATTACTGACTAGAGACCTTAGAACTCTTTGATCAGCTTGAATACCTGGATAGAAGAGAGAAAAAAGTACGAGTTAAAGTAGCGATCACAAAAATTAAAACTGTAGTTTAACTGTTTTCAATAAATATGTACCACTGTGCCAGGTATGCGAGGAAACCTCTACAAACATTGATTCAACCATCGTAAGGCAATCACCCATCACATTCACATTGAAAAAAATATAACCAGAATCAGCTCTTTTTAAATGGCTTATTGAGCATTTTGCATGGAACGCCAATTGGGGCAAATTTTCCTGCTAACGTAGCATTTCTTACACTCAAGTGATCACCACTAATTTGGCAATTCAGTTTGTTCCTTTAATCATTTTTACATCTTCATCAGCTAAACAAGTTTTTCTATCCCAAGGGAAATCTCAACTGAAAGGCTAATTTAGTTTTTCGAAAATACCTGAATTGCAAGTGGAACAATAAAAACAACTTTGTAAGAGACTAAAAGGAAGGCTCAGCAAAGAGGAATGCTAGGATAGCAAAATGTATCACCAGCGGAACAATGCAGTTTTCTCAAACAACATCAATGAGATGCTATGAAATGTTGCATGCTCTATGAAATGCTGATTTAGATAAACTATGATTTTTGGTGTATATCACCAGCCAGCTACGGATCATTTTCAAAAGCATGGTCATGTAATGTGATTGTAGTAGACTATTTTCATTTAAACTGTTTTGTTGACAGACCAGAAAGTTAGAGTAATCAAAATTTTGCAACGTCAGAAAACTATAGAGCAACAGGTTAAGACCATGGCCAACAGAAGTCATTACAGACATTAAAAAAAAGAGTCACATTCGGGATGCTGAGAAAAAGCCAGCAAAATGCGTCTAATTTTCAAATTCTAAAAGCAAGTGAGTAAAAATAATTTTTTTGATCTGTTTCTTCTGTAGGTCTCCGAATAAAAATTTTACTGATCATTACAGACTTGTCTCACTGAGCGGTTCTTTCATTGAATGAAAAATGAAGAGAGGACATTGGTGAAAAAGAGGAATTAAGGAAAAATTGTGCATAGATTTAAAGCTAAACATGTACCGATCATTGAAGAGGAGAAGTAAGATGCAGGGAGCAAATCTTCCACAATAGTTGCCATTAGCCAAAACGCATCTTCCTCCTCCAATAGAAGCAGTAAAGATGCAACAGCCATATTTGTTCCTTGGCAGTACCTAAAGATAAAATAAAAATGTTTTGAGTATAAAAAGGAAAGTTATTTCAACAGGCATTTCCATAGTCATGGCAGCGCAGCATAATTTCAGGGGTTAAAAAGATGGATTCAAGGTTCAAATTTCAAATACTATCATTTATTGGGAAAGAAAAATGGTTTAAATCTTGATTCATGATTGCAAGAGGGGGAAAAATATATAGGTACACAAAGAACAAGTCCTATGTTGCATGACTTTCACTTGAAGCTGCATGATGTGCACAAGTACAGAAAAAATAAATTATTGATTTTGTCTAAATATTATGATCACTATACTGAGAAGGGAGGGAGAAAGGGGGAGGGGTAAACTAATGACTACTTAATAATAATGGCCTTCAATAATCCTCTTCTGTTAACGTAGAAACTGTTCATCTAGTTGAATTTTCACAAGATTTTGACTTATTATTACTTTATTTTTCATTTGAGAGGCTTGAAGGACAAGGCGCTTGAGTGCAGTGTTTGCTATTTCGAGTAAAACGTGTTTTCAATTTTTAAATTATACTTATGAAGCCTCATGGCAGACAGGAAGTTCAAACTCACATTTTGATGCTTAAAAATTTGATTTTACCAGCAGTCCAGTCAATCTGGCCCAAAAAAGGGATCTACTTTGCGAAAATCGGAGGAGAAAAAAGTAAGACGGATCCCCATGTAATTTTGGTTGCTGAATCCGAATCTGATGTTTGCCAACAAAAATTTTGCCCGGAAATGGCCGCCATCTTGAAAAATGACGGAAAATCACGTTTTTTCCCCAAAATCTCACTTATGGGGTTTTCGACAATATGAGTTATTTTCATTTTAAAAGTACGTAAAATTTCCTATCAAACGGCCTTTAGATTTTTGAAATCGAACCATTAGGGTAAAAGTTATGGGCGATCGCGTTAGGGGTGGTTTTACGGGTTGATGAGTTTTTCGTAAAATTTGCTGTATAAAAACGCTGTAACGCCGTTGGAAGTGAAACAAAAATTCCGAAAATGGTTTGCATATGTCCCCCTTGGTACCAGTGACCCTCCGCCATGAAAAAATCCCCCACCCCTGCCCCTCATTCAATGTGCACTTTTTTCAATAAAATCACACTAATTACAGATGTCGAAAATGTATGCAAAACCCTCATGGACCACTTGGTTATCCAACTCCCATCGCCCCCCTTAACCCCGTTATGAATCCCCTCACCTACCCCTCTCCCCACAAATCCCTCCCCGCCTCTCTATTCCTCCACCCCAAACCCTTATAAGCCATATAAGAGCCACCGAAAGGATTCTGAAAGCAAGAATTTTTTTTTTTTTTTTTTTTTTTTTTTATAGGCGGGGAAAATCTTTTAAAGACTTCATCTTAGACAGCTAGGAACCCAAGATGGGTGTGTGGGATTTCCACCCCCTAATAACCCCTCCGCTTTGGGTGAGCGAATTGGAAAAAAAAGAACTGAATGAATGTTGACTTGAATCCCTGGTAAAAATTGGCAGTAGGATATGTGTTCCAAGATATTATAGACCGACAGACGGCTGTAAGTTTTCCTATAGCTTCTGTAGCCAACAATGCAATTTCTTATAGCCATAGCCCGTGGCAAAAAAGCTACAGCCAGGCGATATACTGTACAGCCCGGCGATAAGAACCATAGCCCGGCTGTATAATTGTTTATCGCTTAATTCGTGTAGCCCGGCTGTATAATTTTTTATCGTTTCGTGTAGCCCGTTTGTGTAATTTTTTTCGCTCTCTACAGCCAGTTATATAATTTTCTATCGCCTTCTATATACGGCTGTAAGAATTCCTATGGTATTTTGAATAACGCAGCTCCTATTGATAATTTTCACCAGGGATAGCTTTTTCTCTATAACATTTTCCATAAAGCCGCTCCAACTCGGTAAATTCGGTATTTTAATCAAAAGTTCATAAATCCACAACAAATCCGGCGTTAAGGTTTCATAACGATCAGGCAATTAATTGACAGTCTGCAAATCAAGAATTCTGATGTTTTTCATTCCATTGTGGCGTTCTTTTTCAAAAATTTTAACGGATGTTACTTCGGAGGCCCGAGCTATTTCGCCGGCGGATTTTGAGATAAATTACGAGGTATTACTTGATCAGGGTGAACTGATGATTGTGGTGTGATACACATTACGCCGCCCATACCATGGAAGGTGTTCATTCCATCAAGCATCTGACTATTAAAATCCGCATTATCGAATATGAACTGAAAGAAAGCGTAAAAATTGATTTTTAAGGGTCCATGCAAAATAGCAGCGGTTTCAAATTTCAAAAGTTCATGGTATGGTGCAACATATGCGAGAGAATTCAATACAGCAATCAATTTTTTCCATCCGAATTTTTTGCACACATACGCTGAAACTCCGATTTGGATGGGCGAATTATACAACCAAGGTCTGACTGCTGAAATTGCCGAGTGAGAAATCGCGTTGACTTTTTTTTGGAACTTCGGTTTACTCTTAACTTTTTTGTTATTTAGAATAATAGTTTCAAGAAGGAGCTTTAGAGACTCTGGAATGTTTGATTCTGTGTTCTTAAAAAAATAACCAAACCAAACCAAACCAATCGGTGATATCTTTTCATGGTTTTGGTGATAAAATTCTCAACAAAGCTTGGTAAAATCAGGTTTTAAGTAATAAAAATGCTGAAAGGCTACGTATCATGGAAACTGCTGCAAAAATAATTCTCGAGGATATCAGAACGAAGGTTTACGACACAGAAAACTATCCTGCATCTGATGATTTTTTTTAAGAACGCAGAATCAGACATTCCAGATTCTCTGAAGCTCCTACTTCATACTATAATTCTAAATAACAAAAAAGTTAAGAGCAAACCGAAGTTCCAAAAAAAAAAGTCAAAGCGACTTCTCACTCTGTAATTACAGCAGTCAGTGTAAAACCGAATTTACCGGGTTGGAGCGGAATTATGGAAAATGTTACAGAGAAACAGCTATTCAAGACAACATTCATTCAGTTCTTTTTTTTTTCCAATTCGCTCACCCAAAGCGGAGGGGTTTTTTGGGGGATGGAAATCCCACACACCCATCTTGGGTTCCTAGCTGTCTAAGATGAAGTCTTTAAAAGATTTTCCCCGCTTATAAAAAAAAAAAAAAAAAAAAAAAAAAAAAAAAAATTCTTGCTTTCAGAATCCTTTCAGTGACTCTTATATGGCTTATGAGGGTTTGGGGGGGAGGAATAGAGAGGCGGGGAGGGGTAGGTGAGGGGATTCATAACGGGGTTAAGGGGGGCGATGGGAGTTGGAAAACCAAGTGGTCCATGAGGGTTTTGCATTCATTTTCGACATCTGTAATTAGTGTGATTTAATTGAAAAAGTGCACATTGAATGAGGGGCGGGGGTGGGGGATTTTTTCATGGCAGAGGGTCACTGGTACCAAGGGGGACATATGCAAACCATTTTCGGAATTTTTGTTTCACTTCCAACGGCGTTACAGCGATTTTATACAGCAAATTTTACGAAAAACTCATCAACCCGTAAAACCACCCCTAACGCGATCGCCCATAACTTTTACCCTAATGGTTCGATTTCAAAAATCTAAAGGCCGTTTGATAGGAAATTTTACGTGCTTTTAAAATGAAAATAACTCATATTGTAGAAAACCCCATAAGTGAGATTTTGGGGGAAAAACGTGATTTTCCGCCATTTTTCAAGATGGCGGCCATTTCCGGGCAAAATTTTTGTTGGCAAACATCAGATTCGGATTCAGCAACCAAAATTACAAGGGGATCCGTCTTACTTTTTTCTCCTCCGATTTTCGCAAAATAAAATGCTAGATTGACTGGACTACAGTGAATTTTTCACAGAATTTAATTCAACCCTAGATTTACTTGAAATCATTATTATCTCAATTTTTTTCGAAAATTACACTTAGGTCCTTTATCCTCCAAGCCCCTCATTTAGTACTCTTCTATTCTGAATGATCCTTGATTCACGATAGAATTTACTTTAGTTGAACAAAATATGAGGAGACTAGGCAGTGAGAAAAGCAGAGGAGTATTCTAGAGAGCTTATACTTCCAATATAATCAAGATAAGATCGAGGAATGAGCATGGAGGCTACAATTCCAGAACATGCAAGGTTTCTCTTGAGATTTTTAATAATATTTTTCTTGGAGAGAGGAAATTCATTATTCACCAAAGAAATTAGAAATCAGTTTAAAAAATCTGATACAATGGGCTACTAGACAAGGTCTGAGGGGAAGAAAACGTCAGTCCACTCCCACTTTAAAATCTTACATAGAAAACAGTTCACACAACAAGAAGTTTTGAAATAAACTCCTAAATGAGATATCAAGAAGTCTTTTAAACACAGATCAAAGGGAAATTCGACTACACAAATGACGTCATTTGTAGTTTTGTTATTTAACCAATGTTAATAGGAAACACTTTTATCTTATTTAGGAGTTAATGTTCAGACTTCCCGTTGTGTGATTCGTTTTCCTTGTGGAATTCCGAAGAAAAAACACTTAGAGTTGTGTTTAAATTCATACCTTGTCTAGGGGCCAAATGCAAACTTTTAGTGTAAGTATCTCGAGGGTTAAAGAAGAACTTGCTACAGGACAAATAACGAGGGCAGTTCTTACTGCTGTATGAAAATCTTGCAGTACCTATCTACGTACAGAGTGTCCCAGAGCACCCATACCAGGCCTTTTTCTCGGTTGATTTAGGTCAGACAAACTCGGCGACCGCGAGATTTAAGAGATTTGACCCCAAGAAATCCGAATTTCATGGTCTCGAACCCCCCCCCCCCAGCTCCCCTTGGGAGATAAAAGGAGGGTCACGATCCTAAAAGTCAGGGTTTTCGATCAAATTTCGATTTGATTTTACTAAAATTGAAAAGTACGGAAAATTTCACGTACAATCAACCCCTAAAAATCCAAAATTGGACCACTTTACGCCCAAAAATGATCCCTTAAAGAGGGGATCAACGGCCCCCTCCATAGTTTTCCTTTGATCAAAAATTGACGCAGATTCTCCGGATAAAGATAGATCACCAAGTAATCGACCCCAAGGAATTCGATTTTTATGGTCCCGAAGCCCCTCTAATCTCCCTTGGGGGGTAAATGGAGAAGGGAAAATTTCAAAAGTCAGGGGAAATTGTGCCCCCCATTTGACCCCATAAGGGAGGCTTGGAGGCCCTCGGAACCATTAAAATCGGATTCCTTGGGGTCGATTCTCTGCAAGACCATCTTTTCCCAGAGAATCTGCGTCAATTTTTGACCAAAGGGAAATAATTGATGGGGTCCCTGTCACCCCTCTTTCGGGGATCATTTTAGGGCGTAAGTTGGTCCGATTTTGGATTTTTAGGGGTCAATTTCACAAGAAATTTTCCGTGCTGATCAATTTTAGTAAAATCAAATCGAAATTCGATGGAAAACCCCGACTTTTAGGATCTAGACCCCCTTTTTACCCCTCCCTCCCCCTAAGGGAAGCTGGGGGGGTTTTGCGACCATGAAATTCGGTTTTCTTGGGGTTAGTTCCCTATTCAACCCCGTGATTGCCGACTTCGTCCGACCTTAATCAACCGAGAAAAAAGCCTGGTACGGGTGCTCTGGTACTGTATCTAAATTAATTTTGAGCTCTGCACATTTTGTATTGATGTTAACAGCAAACACGCAGAGATTTCCTTACTCTGTAATTTGGTACTCATGCAAAGCACGGCTGCCAATCTGAAGAATTTCAAAAAGATTATGCTGTTGATGAATTTAATAGTTGGGAATAGAGGGAATTAGAATTAAATTTATTCGCGAATTGAGAGACTTTCTTCAAAAATTTGAATCAGCAGGGATTTTGGGAAACTAAAAAGCAAGTCTATTGCTGCAAGCAGCCATTGCTTTGGGACTTTCCATTTCCCGTTCAAATCCACTTTGGGCAATCCTTCACAATTTGCAACAATACGAAATGAAAAATAAAATATTAAGATGAAATATAATAACTCTGATGAAATTTACATGATAGTGTTTTAGGAAAGAGTCGGATTTTTTTTAAAAAGCAGGCAACTGCATCTTCCAATTTGTTATGCCTTCTTTCACAGGTTATCTAAAGTTGCCAGATAATGCTGAAAATCAGCCCTTTTCTTCATTTAAACCCATGTTCAATATTCACATTTTATGGTAGAACCTGGAAGACGGTGAATCGTCGAGGTGACCGTGAAGCAGAAGGGAGCATGTCGGGTACCCGGCATCGTAAATGAAGCGACATCATGAAAGCATGCCAGGTGTCGGCTTCGCCAGGTAAGCCACCTTGCGGGCAAATACGATCCCCCGGCACACTGTCCCATGCGGCATCAAAGTCCATGCCAGATACCTTCCTCGCACAGCGATGCAGCTCCGTTTATGATGCTGCCTCAAACCTCAGCTCTAAATTCCTGCTCCTGCCCTGCTTTGAGGTTATTTATAGAAAGACAGATGGAATTCCAGTGGAAATTTATAAGAAGCCAGATGCATACCCTACTTCTGGAAATAGCCAAGCTATAGCTCTCAAAACCCTGCGTAATCTTGGAATACCAGTGCTTGATATACTGCAGAAACAGGCGTTGGTTGGCATTGTTCGCAACAGATCCTTCTCAATTTGATTGGAAGATATAAGTGAATCGTGACTCGATGCTTTGACAACATCTTTGTAAACCATGTCACTACAATGTTTCTTTTCTAGAGCTCCTGCAACATGAAAGAACAATTGGGGAATTACTTTAGTTGCGGGCGTTACATTCTATGCATTAAACCGCCCAAAAAATTCAAAAATTTTCACACACTGAGAAATGTACCTTACACTCTACAATGCTGCAAATTTTCATTTAAAAAGATTGTATACAAAGTAAGATACAGGTCAAAAAAGGCCGTTGAGAACGATACAAAAAAGACCTTTCATTTTTGAGGACCTTACTTTGACTTTACTATACACTTCATCTATATTCTGGTTGGCCCTGGTAACTTCTCATTGAGTCTACGTTTCAATCAAGTATGTATCTCGAATAAAGTTTAGGTATATGATTTTGTTGAGATATTGCCTTCTATATGGTGTTGCGGACGTTACACGGTTTTGTAACGTATCTTACACCCATAGGAATCCGTACTTAAAATAGGCTGTAAATCTCGCAGTTTATGAAGTAATTGAATTAACAGGTGACAGCATGAAGTAGGAAAGCCAATTGTCACAACAGTACATGAATTTCTCCTTAAATTTAATACGAATAGCTGTGAGACAATTTTCATAAGTAAAGTATCTAAGGTGATGGTAGAGCCGAGTTTCTATCTTTAAAATGCAACTTAAAAATTAATTTCAGCACAAATTATTTGTGAAATGAACAGAGCGACAAAGGTAAGAGATGTTACGTTTGTCAAGAGTATAAAAATTCACCCTTTTAGAAAAATACAGAGTGTCCCAGATCACCCGTATAAGGCTATTTTTTTCCAGTTATTTTAGGTCGAACGAAGTCGGGGATGGCAAAAATGAAAGGGAAATTGACCCCAAGGAATCTAAATTTCATCCTCCCCAATTCCCCTCCTGCCTCTTTGGTAGGGAAAACGGTTGTTCCAACTTCAAAAGTGGGGGATGCCGGTGAGTGTCAAAATTTTGAAATTATGCCATCAAACTCGGTTGGTACAAAGAATTTTAACCTACACCATCACCAAAAAATCCAAAACTGGCCAAGTGCTCAGCCCAGAAAATTTCCTTCGAGTTTTTCACTGCACACGAAAATATTTCTTAACATATTGAAAAAATCACGAAAAAGTGATTTTCGCAGGCATCGACAGATAGCAGCGATGTGCAACATGACCGATATAGGCCCCCGCATGTGCACTGTAGTATGCTGTTATAGCAGGAACCGCAGCATAGACATGATAACATTGTTACTGAACACAAAGAGATGTTGAAAGTAGTTACGATCAATAATTAAATTGCATTTAAATGCACATCATCAGGACAAATTAACAAATATTTAAGGAAATAATAAAAAAACGTTTTACCGAAATTAAATTTAAAATTGAACACACTTCATGTGTGAATATAAATTGAAACATAATAGGGCTGCTACAGTGTTCCTTAATTTATAATAGCAGCCTATTAAATAAGTTGAATGTAAGATTACTTCTTGCTAGAGCCGTGTAACGACCTCTCCGTTGCGGAAATTACACTTTTTTGACTTTGTATAACATGAAAACTGAAGTATTTAAATACATTCTGATGCTGCTAGAGTATCAATGAAGATAATGTCTTATCGTTCACCAAACATGAACTTCTAAACTGGCTCCTGCATTAAATGGCATCAAGTTTAGAAGCTTTTCTGTTGTGGACGTTACATTTTCACATGCCCTCACAAATTGAGGAAAAATATTGCATATATTTGAACATTTCTGCTCTTTGAAGGCTGTTTGATATTGTTGAGGAACTTGACTGTAACTCCATGTGGTTGTAAATCTTGACGATGCAATATGTAGTGAATAAAAATTGCTCCAAACATAGCCTTACAAATCACTGATCTGAACATGCCTTTAGAAAAACTGGAAAATCTTGCAAATCTAGGAATTTGAAATGAAAAATGAACTCATTTCATGAAATTGAAGGTTATTCCAATTTAATGCACAAAACTTTAGAGCGCACAAGTTGAGTTGATTTTTTAACCTCGAAGGTCCTGTTCAGAAATAATTCCTAGTTGAAAAACATGACTACAGGCACTTTATCAAAAAACACTCTTAATTTTTGCAGGCATTGTAATAGTAGTGCTTTCATGAAACAGAAAATGATACCTGCAAACAACAATTTATCAACCCAGGAAGAATTGAATCGACCTCCGAGGCTAACCTTTCTCTCCTCGAGCTGCAGAGAGCGTAGACCTTTTTATTATAAAAAAAAAGAAAAAGAAAAAAAGAAGAAAAAAAACAACTATGACTTCCAATGGGTGAGGATTATTACTCAATCTGCCACCTGAGAAAAAAAATTGTCCTGTCCACTTACACGCTTGACAGTTGGATGAGATTTACATGGTAGTATGTGGGCAGGTTGTGATGTTTGACCGGGATAACCCAGTGACTGGCAAGGGTATGGGAAGGTCATTTTTGGGCTCTGCGCTTAAAAAGACGTGCAATTCACTCATTATATGGTTAGCTTTCTTGGGGGGGAAAAAAATTCTTATGGACCCAAGCAATCTTTAAGGTTCTAAAAAGGATACATCTTGATATATGATGACTATTACAAACCTGATAACCGCATCCATAAGTGAGGCCTAAGCGAATGGGGGATCCCTCTCTGGACCATTAGCCGTAACTTATCAGAGTGAGGTATCTTGTAAGTATCATCATCCCATGAGAGTTCTGTGCTACAAGTATATTCAGTCCATTGCAGTCTAAAAAGGTAGGAATACATAAGATGAGAGAATATAGGAAAAAAGAGGCTAAAAGAGCCATTGCTGCACATTGACTATAAGAATAAAATACTCAAAAAAAGGGGCATAAATGCATAGATTGATAAGATTGAATCCATTGAGGCTAATCATACGATAGACTAGAAAAACATGAATAATTTAAAAAAGCTGTTTTACTATTCGAACTTTCAATCATTTCAACTTGCGTTTTTAATTAATTTGACTAGGATTTTAAAAGAAAAAAAAAATTGAGCGCAAAAGGAATGTAGCAAACAATCAGCATTGGATTTATTTCTGATTTCGAATGCACATGATGTGAAAGCGTACGATGGGCCTGTTGCAAACTTTTGCTAGAGCAAAACTAAGAGATATTACTCATAGAAAATGTCTCAAAAATCACAATGAGCATATCGGCAAAGTCTAAAATGCACTCCTCACTTCACAATCTGCGTATGAAATCTGCGTGCTTTTGAACTTCCCGCTTCAAAAACGATACTACAGCACAGGTGTACATTTTTTTAGAGGAGTCGTTCCATCTAACTCTTGCTCAATAAGACGCTGCCCAATATTTATCATGTCTGACGCTTCTGCGCGCAAGTCGAGGGGAGCTCAAGGCAAAAATCTCTCAACAGCCTTAACGCTAGGAAAATGTGAATGTAAACACGCCGCTTGTTATCAGGTGGTTGGAATCTCATCCTGTCACATGTATTTTGGCTGATTGGCATTGGCCATGTTGAATATTGAGTAGCGTTCCATTGATCAGGAGTTAGATGGAACGACTCCTCTTACAAAATGTTCACCTGTGCCATAGTATCGTTTTTGAAGCAGGAAGCTCAAAAACAGGCAGACTTTGAAGTTAGGAGTGCATTTCAGACTTTGTTGATGCGCTCATCATGATTTTTGAGACATTATCTGTAAGAGATAAATCTTATTTTTGCTCTAGCAAAAGTTTGCAACAGGTCCATTGATACCTACAAATATATATAATTCGATAATAAATAACAAATCCTAATTAATAAATAGCAAATCCTATAATAATCACAAATATATATAATTAATAAATAATTTTTGCTAAAAATACAAGACATTTCAGACAAAGAAATACTAGGTATTTGTCTTTGGATATTTGGTTTTGCTGCGTAAAATTTTCCTGACTACTGCAGTTTCAAGTTTAGAAAATTTTGCACCGATAAAGGATTGCAATTTCATTTGAAAATAGTCTAAACTGCCTTTTTTGAGGTTCTGAGAAATTGGTCGTGGCAAAATCAATGTAACTCAAATAAGTGAGTTTCAATTTCGTTTTTTAAGAAAACAGTAAAATAGAGAAAAATAAAGACCGGGCCAGCATAGAAGTTTAAGATTTTGTGGGGTTAACGCCAAATTTGGTATGTATGGTTGTTATGTGGGCTCCTGATTTTTTCAGGGAGCGCAAAGAGGGTTATACAAAATCGGCGATTTTACCCCCCTCTTGGATTTTGCCCGGAGTTGGATATGTTGTTCCCTATCACAAGACACGCCTTTTTCCGGCGTTGGCAAGTTCACCCGAAATTTTTCCCGCGCGTTACAGCGTTGCCAAGTTGAAAACAGGCAAATTCCGTAAGTGGCGTTAAAATTGAGCTATGAAGTTGCGGTTTTAACGAAAATTCTCTAAAAATTGCGTACTTTTAGGAAATGACCATCAATTTAATGTCGCATTAATTTTAACATGCATTGTTGCCAATTCTTCGATTTTTTAATTCGACTAATTTTACAAATCCGCAAATACCCAAAAAAGCTATCTTCAAATTTGAATAAAAAGTTGTCTAATCGATAGTTCGTTTGATTCCGCATCCATCGATATATTATAGCTCGCTGGGAAACTTTTGGTTCGCGAGATATCAT